ACACTTCCAACCAAGATGACAACAGTACAAAACAACAGAGCAATTTTCAGCATTAAACTTTTCTCTGATAAAAGCAGGGCTTTTTAAAAAGCAAAACTGGAAAACCAATTAGTACTCATGGTTAAAGATGCTTGAAAACATTTCACGGTGGCAGAAAACCAGAAAGGAGCAATTATACTGCTAAGGACATATCATACTCCTAAGGGCTAAACCAAATAACAAGGAGCCCTAAGACATATCAATAAAGCTTACAGATGACTGTGTCGTTCTTAATCTTACTGTTGAAGAGATTTTAAATAAATGTAATTCTACATCTAATTTTTTTTAATTAAAATGGCAAGCTACTGCAAAAATAACCCGAACAGTTTTCTAGATAAATTCTTAATATGTCAAGAGCATCTCCATGAAATTGGAACCATAGAAATAAGCATCACAGACTGACCACAGGAAAGCTCAGTAAATTGTCTTGCAAACCAAGAGTTTGGCACTTTCTCTTTGAGAAAGGCCTTATGCTCTGCAACACCAGAAATCAAGACATTTCTCCACCTTTCCTTCCTTATGCACACAAAGTTTGATGACTGTGTTCTTCCAGCTTTTAGCTGAAGAGGTAGCTTTGTGATATTGGTCAAGGGTTAGAAAACAGTAGGTGTAAGGCAAATTCAGTGTAATGTAATAGCTGTTATTTTATAGTCACTATTTTAATCTATACATTTTCAAGAGTATTTGTAATAAAAACAACAAATTCTTTGACATTTGCTTTTTTTTCTTTCTTTTTTTTTAGGTCTAGCTATATACACCCTTGATTTTGTTTTAATGTGACTGAATGCTGGGAAGACAAATTTCCAAAGAGCTGATTACTGGCTAGCTGTCCTTTTCTGCTGTTGTAGGGCGCCCATTTTCAAAGAGCATAGGAGGTAATGGTTTATAGGAATGAAAACTTGAAAAGTGCAAAAATTAAATGCAGAAATCAAATCATGAGTTAAAAAAAAATCCTCAAAATTTAGCAAATTGGGCCGGGCGGTGGTGGCGCACGCCTTTAATCCCAGCACTCGGGAGGCAGAGCCAGGCGGATCTCTGTGAGTTCGAGGCCAGCCTGGACTACCAAGTGAGTTCCAGGAAAGGCGCAAAGCTACACAGAGAAACCCTGTCTCGAAAAACCAAAAAAAAAAAAAAAAAAAAAAAATTTAGCAAATTATCTCCTACAGTCTAATGTAAGTTCAATGTAAGCAAGGTGTTTAGTGTAAGTTATACTAAATATTCGTTATTCCTTTACTGATGAAAAGACGTAGCAGTCATAAGTGATTATGCATTTCAATGACTACTAATAGTTCACCTTTTTAGGCCATTTGATTTTTGTTGTCATTAGCACATCTAATATATTAGCCAAGTAGGACAAGAGAATTATATTTGTTTGAAATAAAAAAAATTCAGTACCCAAACATACAATAGATTTGCTTGTAAAACTCAACAGACAAAGATACCCTTTCTTCATAACATTCAGAAAAGTATGTCTAAATTTATAATTTATTATACAAATTCTATTGACCTGAATTAATTCATAATTTTAATAGGAATACGACATATGGATATGTAAGTTAGATAACAGATATGATTGTTCAATAAACTTTGCTCACTGTTTCAGAAGTGTACAAAGAAAAAAGTAATAATAAAATAATTATTAAAGATTTTATATTATACTCATAACTAATCTTCAATGACAAATCATGAATTTTTATATAAGAGATAAACTTATAATGATTCTGGAATAGAACAAATTCACACAGCTTCAAGTTATGTATGTTTATTATGAAAAGAAATTTGACAAAAATACCTTTAAGTGCTAAATACATATAAAACATTGAACGGTATTCCTGTTCTTCCTCCCACCCACTCTTTTTTCTCTTAACAATGGTAATATATTACAGTCCCCAAAATTCACATAACATTTTTATTTAAAAAAAAAAGGTGTTTTGCTAACAAATAAGCAGATGATTTAGAGTAGAGCTCATGAACATTAAAACCTCATGGAAGTCTAACTTCAGATCTCAACAACAAACTGTGGGATACAAAGCTAGGATATATAAAAGCAAATTTATAATATATGATATACTCTACACTTTGACTGACAAATACATTTTCCTGTGGGTAAATAAATTACTTTGCTCCATCATGACATTCAGAAAAGCATTTTATAAGCGAACAGTGTTTAATGTTCCTAAAAATGGACACATGGGTGTGATAACAGCTGTCACACAAACATTCCAGTGAAAAGATAAGGAGCATATGAACTTTAACAATTGGACTCTGACTAAGTCTCTTCCTCCTCATCACTACTGTTACTGTGAGTCATAATCCATTCCCTGTAGACCTGAATTTTCTGTCAGCATGGTAAAGGAAAAAGAAGCATAAAGGTTAGTTAAGTATGGAAAACTTCAGGGAAACCATGTAAAATTATGAAATGTTTAGGTGTTATAGTAATTTTAAAGCAGAGTTTTCATCTGTGATTCATTCTGTAACTGTGGATATAATACCTTATAACTTAACAGGCCTCAAAGTAACTTCCACATACACACTCATATTAGACTTGGTTCCATGTATCAATAAGGTATTCTAGGAAGATTATTCTTCTTTACACATCACCTAATTGACTACTAGGAAGTACTGAAATAATATTCTGCTTTTTAGACAGAATGGCATAAAATGAATATATTTTATATTTAACTATTATGTATATGCATGTCATTTAGCCAACAGAGATAATGTTTTTTTAGAAAAAGAGGGAAAAAAGTAGAAATATTAGAAAGCAGAAAGTAACAAGCATTTTATAAAGCATTGTCATTAAATCATTTAGGTGAAATCTAGGCAGATTACATTTCTATTTTTTCAGACAGGGTCTCATTATTCCAGGCTGACCTCAAACTTGCTATGTAGTTTAAGATGACCTTGAAATTCTGATCCTCCAGGCTCCACCTCCCAACTACTGGATTACAGGAATGCACCACCATACTGGCTTATGCATCGCTCAGGATCAAACTTAGGGGTTCTTACCTGCTATAGAAGAACTCTACCACTTTTATTCTGTATTTTATTACATTATATTTTAACAAATGTGCTAAAAATATAGCAGTTTTATTTATGAAAAGAACTATTACTACCAGAACAGCAACTTTTTACATCTGTAAACCAACAATGCTAACTATAAATATACCAAGATATCTTATAAATTTCTGTAAGTATTCAAGTTAATAATGTGCTTAACACACTTGCTGAAAAATACACAAAGCTGATAAAGATCATGAGATTTTATTTACTGAAACAGAACCTTTAGCAAAGACTGGGCTACTAAAAATAATACGCATCTTTAAATATGACGAGTAGAAATTCATGGTTTTAAATTTCAAATAAAACAATTAATTAAGTTGTGGAATAAACTTCCTTGCCACTAAAATCCAATTATCAATCATGAGAAACTTTTGGTATAATCTGTTCCTGAATAATGAGGATAGTCTATTTCTAAATTCTCCTTACTACAAATCCCTATTTTGTAGCAATTGTATTAAAATAGTTCTTGAGAAATATACCTATTTTTTAATTATGCTTTGAAAACCATTCAACTTTCAGTAAGTAAAAAGTTAGTATGTTAATTCTTTAAAAAGGGCTGGCGGCTATAGGGTGGAAACGCTTCAACTGGATTAGCCAGAGGTGACACCTACAATTTTTCTGTCTCTGAAGAATAATAGAATCTCAGTATAGAGATTGCAGAACATGTCCCAAGAAACTGCCAATTCTATTGTAATCTGCACATATTTTGGCACTTTAATAAGATTTAAAAACCAGGGTAAAAAGTTACTTTACTAATAAAATGTATAATAAAAAAATTTTAAAAGTTACTTTAAATACTGTACTGCAATGCTACAGTTACTTTTAACACACTGAACAGAAAATCCAGCAAAGACGTAAAGTACACTTAATGCAATAATATATACTCTACATGCAGTAGTAAAATAGTAAAATTTTAAAATTTTTATCCTGGTTATTTTAAATTTGAGAAGCTCCATGTTTCAACAGTTTATTACTATCATGAATATTTTCAAAACTAGAAAAATGCTAATTCTTTATTTTCAAATAAATGGCTTACTTTAGTATTCCATACCAAAACAAGTTTACAACGGGATAGCCTGGGGTATGAGTTGTTACTTCTACTATAATCTAAGTTTTAAAACGAGTTATCAAGTATCAAAGTAGTCTGCACTGACAAACCATTCCAGCCTCAGACTATTGTCTGAGACTATTGTCCCCCAATTGGATCTCCTTACTAAAAGATACTACTTGCTGTGAACTGTGCATCAAATCCCAGGAGGCTCTACACATATTAACATGACAGTCTCAAAAACGCTTAAGAACCACGATGATCTACAGTGGCAGTGTTCCTGAGTTTTGTTTTCCCTTCTTTCACGAATAAAACAGAAATGAAGATTATATTTAATATAAAAACTAGTAGTGGTATGAAAGATGGAAGAAGTACCCCAAAGAGAAAAACCTAACAAGCGAAGTATGTACTATCAAGGCTAAAGGCATACAAGGCATATTGGTTTTCAGCAGATCAAGAATACCCAAAGCAAAACCAAGAACAGTCTATGGAAAGATTAGACTGACTTACATTCCTAGCCTAAATTACCAACACAAAATATTTTCTTTATATTCAAAATACTGAAACAGCTGCAGAGTTTGTAAAAGTTTAAGGCTAAAATCTAATGTTGGCTTTCACTTGCAAAGTCATGAATTAACAGTTTTCATATCAAACTTTTTGAGGCCTGTAAAAAAGAAAGAAAAATCTTATAGTAAATAATTGTACTTTAAAATCTAAGTAAATAGAAGTATAAATAAAGCTAAATAAGACAAATAAAGCCCTAATCTATTTTTAAGGTATTGTGTAACGATTTTAAAACACCCCAAGTTGTGATATTTGATTTTAGTTTGTAGGACGTTTCTTCACTTACCTGTAACATTTGATTTCCTGTACCATCCCTTAGTCTGTAAGGTCGGATAACTCCATCTTCATTAAAGAACCGGGGCGGTCGCAGACTTTCCACTTCAGAAGTCTCTGTAGCTCTAAAATAAATAAATAAAATAAAATTCACACACACACAAAACTTAAATTTTAAAAATTATCAAAATCCTGCACTTACAGCTCAGTAAGTATCATGGAAGAAGATATGGAAAGAATGTAAGAGCCATAATATCAGAAAGTCTACTGGGAGACAGTGTCTTCTAGGGCCCCTTATTGGTTCTCCACCCAGAATGTTCAGCCTTAAAACTATATGCACACAAATCACTGAGCAAGTTGTATTTCTATCTATTTGTGCATATGTATGCATAAACATATGTCCATAACAAATGTAATCAAAGAAAAAGAGGCTATCAACTTGAGAGTAGGGGTGTGGAATAAGCTTAAGGAGGACAGCTGGGGAGGGCTGGAGGAAAGGAAGTACTGCAGTTCTATTTCAATTCAAAACATTATCAAAAACTTCTTAAAACACTGTTAAAAACAACTACTAAAGTAATCTTAATTAAAAATAATAATAAAGATAAAATAATCTTAGATAAATAGGAATACTATATAACTTCTCTATTTTAAATGTTTTTTTATGATATAATGTAAAATTCCCAGAAAAAAAAAATAGAGAACTATAAAAAAAATCAATTCCTAAGCAGGGCGGTGGTGGCGCATTCCTTTAATCCCAGCACTCGGGAGGCAGAGCCAGGCAGATTTCTATGAGTTTGAGGCCAGCCTGGTTTGCAGAGTGAGATCCAGGACAGGCACCAAAACTACAGGGAGAAACCCTGTCTCGAAAAACCAAAACCAAAATAAACAAATAAAAAAATCAATTCCTTTGGATTTTCTTTGTGATGATAATCAGATTCTGTCATTTTTAAAAAATGGGAGATATATATGTGGCCCAAAACCACATGGATGTCCAACATCATATGCCATTAAGCAAATGCAACTTCAAACTTCAATGAGATGCTACTATATACCCAATAGCTACTTAAAAAACAGGCACTGAGCACAGGTGAGGAAGTCCAGGACCAGACAAAATGGAAAAATTCTGTAAGGAAGCACACCAAAGGTCAAGGCAGAAACCCTGCTCCTTACTGGTGACAAAAATGTCTCTGCTTTGTGTGTACTGACATGAAGCAAAGAAACCCTTCCATCCTTCAGTTACTTCTGTCAGGACTATTTCATAGAACTGCAGGAAAAGAAGGCAGTGACTAAGGAATAGATGGACTTGTCTTTCCTCACTCAATGTTACTTGAAGGGAAACTATTACTCTCATGTGGAAGTATAACCCAGTTAATCTGTGGCTAGTTTCCTGCTCATATTATAACCTGAAGTATCTCTCTCACAGTTTTATAATCTGCAATTTGGCTAACTCTCCAATGGAATGAATATATTATTATATAATCACTTATAGGGGTGCGATGTCTGGGGAGGGAAAATTTAATCCAATGAGTGAGTGTCCTGTACTTTTCTCATTGCTCCTTCTTGCATTCCCACACTTCTCCAGCCTTAATCTTTTACCTGTGGTCATTCAGCCACTACCTATACCACCAAGCTCACAATGTTATGGCCATCTTCACCTAACGACCTGAGGGTAGCCAATGGGGATCAAAGGCTTTTCTGAGAAGGGAGTGAACATCTACTTTATACAAAGAACTAGAATCCTTGTAGTAGTTTTTACAGGTGTGTGTGTGTGGGGAATCCTGGGCAAAATGGAAAATGAATATTAGAAAATAATGGAGAAAAATTCAAAACACACACCATTTGTCCGGGGAAATCTGCCCACAAATACTTCTAGTGGCATATGAGTAACAGGGTTTTATTTTTTATTTTTTCCCCCTCAAGACAAGGTCTTACTGAAACTCATCTATGTAGACCAGGCCAGCCTCACTGAGAACTGCCTGCCTCTGCCTCCCAAGCACTGGGACTAAAGGTATGTGCCAACATTCCTGATCATGAATAAGTCTTAAAAAGTGAACAAAGCCTAAATATGCATCTGCTGATGAACAAGTAACCAAAGATGGTTTAAATGAAAAATGTCCCCAATAGGCTCATGCATTTGAACACTTGGTACTGGCTGCAGGGAGGGGTACTGAAGTTTAGGGATGTGGAATAGCTTGCAGGAAGTGTGTCACTAGGAGCAGTCTTTTGGAGCTTTCAGACTTGCCACATGTCCAGTTCACATTCTTTGTTTTCTCCATGTGGCTAGAAATGTGACCAGCCAACTTCCAACTCCTGTCCTCTGTTGTCATGCCCTCCCCCACCATTATAGACTGAACTGTATGACCACTGTAAACCTCTGGAACTATAATTCCATATAGAACATACATGCTCAAACAAACTCTCTAGAAGTTGCTCTTGGGTCATGGTATTTTTCATAGCAACAGAAATAAAATTAATATATGATATATTTCATTAAAATATTACTCAGCAATAAAAGGGAAGCTCACCTTTTTGCTACATCATAAATGAACTTTAAAAACATGTTAAATAAAAGCAGCCAGTCACTAGCTGGTGTGGTAGTGCACGCCTTTAATCCCAGCACTTGGAAGGCAGAGGCAGGTGGATCTCTGTAAGTTGGAGGCCAGCCAACTGGTCTACAAAGTGAGTTCCAGGACAGTTAGGGCTGTTACACAAAGAAACCCTGTCTTGGAAAAAAAAAGAAAAAAAGGAAGGAAGGAAGGAAGGAAGGAAGGAAGGAGGGAGGGAGGGAGGGAGGGAGGGAAGAAAGAAGCCAGTCACAAAAAACTGTATGATTCGATTTACGTATACTATCCAAAACAGGGAAATCAACACACAAAAAGTAAACAGTGATGGCTAATGTTAAGGGGAGATGGAAATGGTGAGTGATTGCTAACAATCAAAGAATTTCTTTTGGAGGTGATAATAATGGGAATTTGCTGGTGATGGCAGCAGCACAATACAATAAATTACTGTAATGTATACTTCAAGGTGATGGTTTTTAAAGTATGTTTCCAGAATAGTTAAGGAATTCTTACAACTCAACGATATAGGAACAATTAGCCTAGTTGAAAAAGGTTTAGAAAAGGCAGGTTTTATGTAAGTATAAAAAGAAACAGGAGGGATTTTTTTGATATCTTCACTATAGTTGTAGATATATTAATCTACAAGAATGACAAACACATGCATAATTGGCACAGTGACATACAAGTAAATTAGTAGTAGGTCAAACTAGGAAAATCTGAATTAGATCTCTGCTAATGTCCTTTTCATCTCATTATACTATAATTTTATAAACTGTTACCCTGTAGAGGATGGGAAAGGTCTATATAATGTTTGGATAGGGCTCCACAGAAGTCTAATGTCCTAATCTCCAGAATGAGCAGGTGTTCCTTTATGGCAAAGTTTACAGTGTGATTAAATCAAGGATTCTGAAATAAGGGAATAATGCAGGTGCACTCTATGTGCTACCAGAAGTGTCCTCAGGTGGAGAGGGAGCAGACATCAAAGGAGAAAGGAATATGGGGATGAAGGCAGAAAATGAAACAGGACAGCTACAAAGCCAGGAATGCCACCAATCACTGAGGTCTTCGAGAGCCAAGGCACTGTGAGAGAAAAGATCTCCCTTGACGCCAGGTTTGCAGGAATTTGTTACAGTGGCCAGAGGACCCATAGTGCAGTATGTAAAGGATCCCCCTACATTATTTCCTGCCATTGCATATAATACAATTAGCTTAATTATAAAACAACAATAATAACCACCAAAAAACAGACTACCATATGTTCAGTGATAGTATAAGTGTTGGGGGAATTTGCATTTTAATGAGATAGCAATGTAAAATATATAGTATATTAAATAGTGGTCAAAAAACTAAGATAAAAATAAAGAAGGGAAGGGAAATTCAAAGTATCTTGAGTTAAGGTACAGGTAAAATAAAAGTCTTAGTGGAAAAGCAACTTTTGAATAAAGGAAGTGAGTCTTGCTGAAGATTGGGGAAGGGAGTTCTATTCAGACAGGTGGGAATGCAAAAGTAAAGAGGAGAATGTCACCTTCAAATAAAACTCTGTCTCCCAAGTGCTGGGATTGAAAGCATGCACCCCCACTTCCCAGCTAAACTTAAACTTTTAATGATAGCTTGGGACCTTTTTACTAAATTCCAGACTCTCACACTAAATAACTTACTTTTAAAGCTCAATAAATTTACAAGACACCTTTCAATTTTGTTCATTGCTATTTTCTATGGATAAATCAGGGAAAGGTGGATTGTCTATCTACTGAGCTGCAATGAATAGTCCCAATCCAATGGTCACAGATTAAGTTAAATGAATCACATAATAGAATCTAAAGTCATGAATCTGTGAAAGGGATAGGTCAGGGAAGGTTGATAGGGATGGAGGGAGATGAGAGATAGTGGGAAAAGAGAGTAATCAGAAAATATTATATTCATGAATGAAATTATTAAAGAACTAACATAAAAATACTATCACTTATAGATATTTGTGAGGAGTATTTTTAACAGTGCTCTAGACAGTTAAAAAAATCACATTAGTTACCATTTTTATCTCTAGGTCATATATTTTTAATGGTTATAGTTAAATAATTATTTCGTTACAAAAGATAGTTATTTTCCTCTTTAAAAACAAAAAAGGAGCTGGGCGGTGGTGGCGCACGCCTTTAATCCCAGCACTCGGGAGGCAGAGCCAGGCGGATCTCTGTGAGTTCGAGGCCAGCCTGGACTACCAAGTGAGTTCCAGGAAAGGCGCAAAGCTACACAGAGAAACCCTGTCTCGAAAAACCAAAAAAAAAAAAAACCAAAAAAGGATTCTACAAGACCAGATGATTGAACTTCATGATTATGGAGAATTAATATGTTGCAGACCACAGCCAAATTATCTGTCACTGCCCACTCCTGCTTCACCTAATATCCGTATAACTATTAAAACTTTTAAAATCTATTAAGAACAAGCTACTAGTTCCTATCAATACAAAAAAAACCCCCTACAAATGTCACCAGATAGCATCTGAGGCCTATAACAGATTTCTCCACTTTACTACAACCCACTACCCAACAAATGCAACCATGTGTTTGAAAAGTGTCTTGATTTCTAACTTGCTTTTTTCTATCACTATGAGAAATTCATTAAATGGTTACCACACTGGCACATGGTATCTGGGATAGTCTGAATCAGTGGTCCTGAACCACAGTCAATCATATTGGGTTTCAGAATAAACCATTTCCTACTGAAGCGCTCTCTAGCAGGCCCTTGCAAGCATGGCAAGCATGGCAAACATTGCACCAGTAGGTTTTGACCTTTCCCCTTCTCTCCGCCTTGCTAAAAACCGTTAATTACATTCCCAAAGCTAGTCCCCAAGGTCCATTCTCTTATTTGGCCACTAACTCATTCCTGAGACTAAACACCAAGGTTTAGCCGTCAAAATTCATTATTTGGGTACACTGGCTGAGCTATCTAGTCAAGATTTACCAACTCACCCTAGCACTGACTCCCCCTTTTTTCTCCTTAAAAACCCACAAACTGCTGCTGCTGCTGCTGCTTGCTCTCTATCTTTGCCTGACCCAGAGGCAGCCTCTCCCTACTGTTTGCTCCTCCAGGGTAATGAATCTCGTTTAGGCTGAGAATTTGATGTCTGGGGGTGTCCTGTACCAACTCTGAGGGGGCCAACATCCCTAACATCTACTTTTGGAAAAATAATAAGGAAGGAAGAAAGGAAGACAGCACTTTTCCACCACCACTTTGGTTAACCTTATCTCTCTTAACATGTCTTCTTCCTTCCTTGTCTTTCAGAATTGGGGGCTAAACTCAGGGTTTTATTTGTGTTCAACAATCACTCCACATTGAGCCCCATCCCCAACTCTATCTGCTTTTCCCTTCATGGTGTATGTTTTCTTTCCTTTTGCCACTTAACATACCACACATATTTATCGGTTACTTATTTTACTCTCCTACTTAAAGTGTAAGCTGTGCCAGGCAGGACAGGAACACTGCCAGTTATGTTCAGTGCTGGTTTCTTAAATGACAAGAATACTCCCTAATTCATATTATAGAAATACACAAATATTTCTCTGTGTGTGTCTGTGTAGCCAACAGTTCATTAGTATGTCTCAATTAGTATGTCTCAATCCATTTACTTACTTTTATTTTCCTGATGCATCAAAGTTGAGAGAAATGTTAAAATATTCTATTATATAAATGTTTGGGAAGTTCTTACAATTTTATCACTTTTTGCTTTGTAAAAGTTGAGGAACTGAACTGGATCTTGTGAAGTTTTTATTATTTGCTAATTATTCTATCCTCAAAAGTGTTTTTTTCCCCTAGTTAGTCCCATCTCATTAATAAGCATATGCACTTTACAAATGACAACATTGAACTGCTTCATGGTAATTGTTTCCTTTCCAAATCATATTTTATTATTTTATACTAACTTATTTCCAATGTTGTTTCCATATAGATCAATTAGATCTATTCACTAATCAATTATTTTACCATTGATTCTTCTAACTTATTCTTCACTTTAACGTGTTTCTTCATAAATACATCCCTTAATAGTATTACTCCTTCTAAAACGGTTTACTTTGTCCTTGATCCTGGAAAATAATGAAGCTAGGTACAGAATGGTAAGGCTTTACCAATGCAGGGTAAATCTAGCATCTCTGAGAAGTCTGCATAGCTTGCTATATGTTTTGAATTCCCTTGGTTTCAGATTTCTGAGCTTCTCTGAAAACTATGGATCAATATGTTATACTTATAAAGCCAAAGCTACAGGGAGAAGAAACTGACCCCTTTTCCTATTCTAAATTACACAAAAACAGAAACAAACAATAAAAATGAATGTAACAGATTTTAAACTAAGATCATAAATAAACACACAGTAAAGACAGACTCAATGTGAACTAAGGAATGGCGTGGTTTTTTCTCTCAAAAGCAGGGAGGATTTGCTGATTTAAAACTGATACATATAGCATATTTTAATGTATTTCAGCTGAGTAAAAGCTTAGCTGGCTAACTCATTCCTGACAACAACTGCTGGGAACAGAAGACAAAGAAGAACTCTACAATGCTGAAGTCACATAATGGCACCAACTTAGAAGGAATCAAAATTAGGAAGTCTTACGCAATTTGCCATACCACAGAGTTCATAAATAAGAGCCTGAAAACCAGAAGTAGACACACATCATTGCTCAAGGCTTCAGAATGTTCCTCATCTGTCACTCACTCACAAAGAGCTTTACCTTTTGATTCCCTGAAAGGTACTGCTGGCCATGTCTATGATGCCACCCGTTGGCCTGGCCACTGCTCCAACTAAACCTTTCCCGACACCTTTGAAGAAACCTGCTGCTCCTTCCTTTTGAGCACCTATAAAAAAACAGCCAGCATAAGCAGTTGGAGCAAATGAAAGTGGAAGCAACTTGTGAGCTATGTAATAGACAAAGCAACTACAACACTTGCCTCTAATTGGTTTTGTAACAATCCCTGTAATGCCACTTACAAAACCCTGGAGGGAAAGCACAATTGAAAAGTTATATTTCTGTATGATGCTTACAAGACCATTTTGCTTCAAAAATTTTTTTCAGAGTTTTTTCTTTTTATAGATCACAATAACTAACATATTTATTTCCTAAGTATTTTATTTAAACAAAATGTTTTTGGAGATTACTTAAATATTTTATAAGCTACATTATAATGCTCAATAGCAATTTAAGTAGACTTATATGTTTACTTCTTTATTCATAAAATGTTGACTCACAAGCTATTCCCTCACATGTTCATAACCCCATGAAATTTCTTACAGAAACCAGGCCTTTTCCTCCACGAGTGATGCCTTCTCTAAGGCCAGCTGGCTGCTTATTCATTGCTTCTCTTCTCTTCTGCTGGTAGTCTTCATCCATCGTCATGGCTGCTACCCCTTTCGCCATAGCACTGGTGATTTTGGAGGCAGCACCAGCTAGCCCACCTAACAGAGAGTAACACGGTAAGGAAAGGCTCAACTGTCGTTGGTTTCTAGCAGTGCTGCTGCGCTTTCTGCTGCTTACCAACGGCTCCGCCGACCAGTGCTTTCAGTCCTAGCGCCATTCCCTCCACAAACTCTTCAGGCCCCTGGATGGCCCCCTACGGGGACAAAGAGTGGTATTAAAGGAATGAGCTCACTGATACAAGGACTGTGATAGTGACTGGAAGAACAAGGAAACTACACCAGCAAAAACTTCACATTCCGTTCTCAGGGTAATTTCAGGGTACTCAAAGTGTAAAGGGACAATAGAACTTGTTCCAGATGAAGAAAGGAGAAAAGATGTTTGCACTGCACTGTAAACTGCAAGCAGTTTATATAGTATTCTTGATAATTTTTTAGAAAAATAAAACTTAAAATTCTTACCACTTTTGATTTTTATAACACAATGTACAGAACAAAAGTTAGTTCTACTTTGTTTTTGTTATGCATTTTATAAATAAAGTGGGTAAACTCTAAATGCATTTATGGGAACTATGAAGGGATGTAGAACAAATTTTTTCTTTTCTAGTTCCTATTAAGACTGCTTTGCATAATGCTAGCTTATATGGTTATTTTTACAGTCACATACTTTTTTAAAATTTATTTATTTATTTACAGAGCTGCTCTGTCGCCACCACTTTATTTTTTTTTATTTTTTAATTTTTTTAATTTTTCTTTATTAAGAAATTTTCTACTCACTCCACATACTATCCACAGATTCCCCCTCCTCCCTCCTCCTACTCCCCAGCCCTCTTTCCCAAGCCACCCAGCATCCCCATATCCCCTAAATTGAGGTCTCCCATGGGAGTCAGCAGAGCCCAGCACACTGAGCCTAGGCAGGTCCAAGCCCCTTCCCACTGCACCAAGGCTGCGCAAGGTGTCACACTACAGGCACCAGATTCCCAGAAGCCTGCCCATGCACCAGGGACAGATCCCAATCCCCCTGCCTGGGTGCCCCCCAAACAGTTCGAGCCTCTTTCGTATCCAGAGGGCCTAGTCCAGTCCCATGGGGGCTCCACAGCCACCAGTTTACAGTTCATGGGCTTCCACTAGTGTGGCCAGTCATCTCTACATGTCCTCCCATCATGATCTTGACGTCCCTTGCCTGTAGAATCTCTCCTTTCTCTCATCAGTTGGATTCCCAGAGCTCAGCCTGGTGCCTGGCCATGGATCTCTGTATCTGCCTCCATCTGTCACTGGACAAAGGCTCTATGATGACAGTTAGGTTATTTGCTAGGCTGGTCACCAGAGTAGACAGGTCCAGGCACCCTCTGGACTACTGCCAGCAGATCGAGGTGGGGTTAACCTTGTGGATTCCTGAAGCCACCCCAGCACCATGCCTCTTCCTATTCCCATGATGTCCTCATATATCATGGTATCTTCCTCCCTGCCCTCCCACTCTGTCCCTGTTCCAGCTTGACCCGCCCATTTCCCTATGTTCGCATTTCCCACTCCTCGCCCTCTGCCACTCCCCCACACCCAGTTCACTCATATAAATCTCATTCACTTCTCCTTCACATGGTCATCCATGTGTCCCTCCTAGAGTCTTTCCCTGTTAGCTAGCCTCTCTGGAGTTGTGGGTTGCAGTCTGGCCATCCCTTCCCTCACATTTAGTATCCACTTATGAGTGAGTACATACTATGTTTGTCCTTCTGAGTCTGGGTTACCTCACTCAAGATGATATTTTCTAGTTCCATCCATTTGCCTGCAAATTTCATGATATCATTGTCTTTTACTGCCGAGAAGTACTCCATTGTGTATATGTGCCACATTTTCTTTATCCATTCTTCAGTTGAGGGGTATCTAGGTTGTTTCCAGGTTCTTGCTATTACGAATAGTGCTGATATGAACATAGTTAAGCATGTGTCCTTGTGGTAAGATTGAGCATTCCTTGGGTATATGCCCAAGAGTGGTATAACTAGGTCTTGAGGAAGACTTATTCCCAATTTTCTGAGAAACTGCCATACTGATTTCCAGAGTGGCTGTACAAGTTTGCATTCCCACCAGCAGTGGAGGAGTGTTCCCTTGCTCCACATCCTCTCCAGCGTAAGCTGTCTTCAGTGTTTGATCTCAGCCATTCTGACAGGTGTAAGGTGGTATCTCAGAGTCGTTTTGATTTGCATTTCCCTGATGGCAGTCTCATACTTTTGTGCAAAACAAAATTACCATACATGATGAGCTTCCTTTTTCTATAGTGTAAACTGTACTCATGGTTTTTATTTCAAAACAAAACTTAAAGTTAGGGATCTTAACAAAATTGTAAGTTGAAATTTTGAAGGAAAAGGTAGAAATTGCCCCTATTAAGATCAGTGTAATTTTGCGGGTCTCTCAGTATTTGTTTACATGTACAGCTCAAGTTAACAACTAAAATGTTTTATATATTAGGAAATCATACTTTATATAATTCATTATATAAAACAAAGAAAAAAATTTTACCTGGTAAGGTTCATAAAAAAATGCTTCTACGCCTTCTGAAAATTCTCTAATTAAGCCAAAGGGATTTCCCAAAACATCAAGTCCAAGAATGAGCACATACATTTGCTTAATAGCCTAAAAATGAAATACAAGTATCAATCAATATCATGAGACTACTATCGGTACACATTACTTAGTATACACACCCAGTTTTTGCTCAGGTTAACATCTTTACTACAAATTTCAAGACCCAAACCTTATCACTATTTCTTCTGCTTTCATTTTATTTTATGTGTATGGGTGGTTTGCCTGCATACATGTTGGTGTACCACATGCATGCAGTGCCCTAAGAGGTAAGAAGAAGGTGTTAGATCCCTGGGACTGGAGTTACAGAAGGCTGTGGGTTGCCATGTGGGTCCTGAGAATTAAACCACAGTCCTATGGAAGAGCAGCAAGTGTTCTCCAGTCCCCTTATCTCAATTCTTCATTTAAAAATATAATTATTAAAAATACATACTTGTGTAATATGTGTGGAAGTGAATATTGTGTGTAGGTAACTGTGGAAGGCAGAGTTCAACCTCAGGTATCATCCTGAGGAACATTATCATTCTTCTTTCAGACAGGGTCTTCTGAGACTAGACTGATGTCATGCAAACCTCAGTGATCTTGTTTCTGACCAGCAGTGCTGGGATTAAGTACATACTACAGACTTGGCATTTTCACACGGGTTCTGGGGCTCAAACTCAGGTCATCAAGCTTGCAAGGCAAGCAATTCAGTGACTGAGCCATTTTCCACAGCCTACTAAGTTTTTAAAAAACAGCTTGGCGTTACTATAAAAAGAGATAAAATGAAACTCCAGATTCTAGAGTCGAGAACACAGAAAAAGTTTTCAGTGTTCTACTACTTGTGAGTTACTACTATCAGCATTTTACAGATCTCCCAGTGTCACAAAATACAAGGCAAAAGTGGGATGCATGCCCAAAACTCGTTTAAATCTTGAGATAAAAGAATCTTTCTATAATTGAAAAGATCCACAGCAACAGGGTAGGTAGCTGACTCAATAACTCCACACTAAAAATATGATTGAGTTTCAAGAAACTAAGTATGATGAATTAACATGTTATTAAAAATCTATGTATTTCTAATCCATACTGATTCAGAAAAAAATTCTAATAATGTTTTTGTTCTAAGAACAAGGGCAAAAGATTGAAATGGTGGTGGGGCTGAAGTTCATAAGAATATATATGAGGTGGGGGGAAATCCATGATTAAAATTTTGAAACTTGCTATTTGCTTTCTTGACGAATTTATAGTACACATGTATGGACATACACAAGGTTTGACTAGCTTACATATTTCCATCCTTCTGTAAGGTAATCTCATACTAACCTGTTTTGAATAGTGTCTTATTGCTTCAGATTGCAGTTCAGAAGTTGTACGGAACTGGTAATTGAGTTCAAAAAAGGCAAGCCTGAAAAAACATATTAACAAATTATATATACACACATACACACACATATGTATGCACGGAGGAAAAGAATTAAAGAATATTAATGACTGGTTTTATTTTCTTCTGCAGATCTCTCCCCATACATTTATTGAATGTAATTTTTGGTACACTCTAGTGAAAGAAATTTTCTAATAGCCCGATAAAATCTGTAACTCATTTTCTATGGAAAAAAAAAACAAACACTGAAGACTACGACAAAGATCGCAGTCATGGGCCTGTAGAACAATTTCCCAACTTTGCCCTATAAATGCCCCAAAAGAAAATGTTTTGACAAGCTGAGGTGAATGAAGAGGCCACCTAGGAACGGCCAGATTTCTATCACTGCAGGCCTTCCTTCCTGAACTACAGCAGAGGCAGCAACTGATTCAATAACTGGAGAGCTCTTTTTGCTGAACACGAGAACAGGAAGATCCATTTCACTTTATTCTGATGCTATCAGACCTGTGTTCTTTTGTTTGACTGTTTCCTAGTTAGATTCTGAGCTGCCTCTGATTCTCATGCTGTTCTTACTAAGCAGGCAAGCTAAGACATGTTACCTGGGAAGATCATTCTTTTCTAAAGTAGTCTCTACTCAGACATGTTGAATTACTGGTCAGATACTCCATTAGTTTCCACTATAACTCACATTCAAATATAAATATGCTTTTGAGATGAGCTCTCACTATGTTGCATGTGCTCATCTTGAATTCCTGAACTCCAGTCATCTTTCCACCTTAGCCTCTCAAGTCCAGGACTATATATGTGTCACACAATGTCTAGTCTAAAAATAAATGCTTGACATACATACATTTAAGTTGATCCCTTCATTATCCATTTCATTGTATTCTGTCTAGTTACAGACTTAATGAAAAGCCTTCATCTTATGGGCTTGAAAGCCCTATCTTTTAAACATCATATCTTAAGTATCTATTTCTTTTGAGGAATCTTCATTCAGCTCAGAGTTTTAAAAGTACATAAAATTGAAAATCCTACATCTCTTCTTCTTATGGAAGTTACTTAAAAATCATTCTTAACTAAGTCATTAAGGACAGATAAAATACTTGGTATTATTTTGATTATAACCCACTTAAAAGACAGAAACCACAATTTGCCCAAAATTTTCAATATACTTTTCACATTTGCAAAATTTTTAGGTAAACATAAATGGACCATTCATCAGTTTATAGATGTAAGTATTAAACATACTTAAAAACTACATCTTGTACATCTGTAAGGGTGGCACCAATACTCTTCAGTAAAAGATTTAAAGAATGAACAGGAATTAGTCCTCCACGCTGTCCTGAATCTTTACCTTCTTCTCTACCAGAGCTCAGTGAAACACTCAAATGCAACTGCAGAGATAAAGAAATACATTGAAGCACTTTCCCCATAGTGGCAACTTTAACTTTTACAAAACAGTTTAATACTGAGTTCATTTAACCATAAATAAGATCTCAAAGTTACCTGAATTATGCCAAAACTCAGTAACTAAAAAGTTTAAGTCAAAATTCAACATAGCTCTGTTTAAAATTCAACAATTTAAGATGCCGTAATTGAATTCTACTCCTTTTTTATTTTTATGAGACAGGATCTGACTACATAGTCCAGCCTATTTGTACTTAGAATCTCTCTTGCCTGAGCATCATGAATGCTAGCTTACAAACACTATCACACTCATCTTCAACTCTATTCTCATGGCATTGTGCTGATCTCAGGAAAATGTTCACTTAATATATTTGTTAGTAAGTTAACAACCTAGATTTTGAAGTTGTTACTAATAACCACATATCTCCCAAAGTTTACAATTCAACTATTAGAATTAGGTTAGCACAATAAAGCCAGTTTAAAAGCACTTTTGTGTTGTACTGAATGTGTGTATATGTGTGTGTGTGTGTGTGTGTGTGTGTGTGTGTATGACTGTACAATAACTTTAATAAGCTATAAATAACTTGTAGAAATTACATTAGCAATTTAGATTAGTACTATCAAGATGGCTTAGTTATAGATAAAGGAGTCTGAGAACCTGAATTTAATCCTTGGAAACCACATGACTCCTACATGTTTCCAGGCTTGCAGTGACAAGTACATGTATACATGTTAAAACCAAAATCAAAATTTTGATTTGGGCTCCTGAGATAGCTCAGAAGGTAAAATTACTTGCTACATAAGCCTGATAGAGTTCAAACCCAAAACCCATGGTGGAAGGAGAAAAGGTTATCCTCTAACCTATCCACCGTGACAAAGGGAGGCCTACATTCACATACACACACAAATTAAATTAAAACTTGCAATTCATTCTGTGCTCAACTCTTTTTGTGTTGCAATGCGCATGTGTGCATGCACACATGTAAACACATGTGGGAGTCAGAAGATATTGCTCCAGTGACACTTTTTTTCCTTTTGGTTTTTTGAGACAAGGTTTCTCTGTGTAGCTTTGGCTGTCCTGAACTCACTCTGTCGACCAGGCTGGCCTTGAACTCACAGAGATCCACCTGCCTCTGCCTCCCTGAGTTCTGTGATTAAAGGTGTGTGCCATCACTGCCCAGTTACCCCTGTGATTCTTAAGTTTACTTTATGAATTAACTTAAAACTAAAACATCTACCATATATGAAACTTTGAAAATTATCATAATTTATGAAAAAAATAAAGTCAAATAACAAAAGGTCAGGGTATATAGGCCCAGGTTGTGTGATTTCAGTATTATTTCTAAATGGTAAAATATATATATATATATATATATATATATTTAAAAATGTAAAGTATCAATTCCAGTTATTTATAACTGTAAAACTATACATCTATTGTGTTGTTATAGGAGATAATTTAAATGCTAATTCCCTCAAAGAGATCAAATCAATTTGTAATTACTTAGTTTATAAAACAAACTTATGTATTTCCTTACCTTGATAGGAGATATATGAAAATATTCAAAGAGATTGATTTGAGATTGATCTACTGATGAAACTGTTTCATACTCTTGTTCAAATGTTTCTACATCTTTATGAAAATATTCAACCTATACAAGAAATATAAACACCGAAAGGACCTGTTTAATATAAGATATTTAAAGCCAATGCATCACAGATTGAAGGAAACTAACACTCAGAGTCAGCATTATTCTTAATTGGAAGTTACTGCTTTAGAAGTAACTTGTATTGTTACTGCTAGAAAGTCTGCCACAAACCACATGATAAACATACCTTTTAAGTTTCTATTAAATGCTATCTAGCTTTTTCTTCATGTGACTATAGATCCTATTTAAAAACAGCACCAATATATTCCAACAACATACTTTGTGGATATTTTCTTCTCTAAACACAGTTCTGTTAACAGTCTGTAGCACTTCAGTACCTATCTTGACGCAATTTAGAGGCTAGCAATATAAATGTAAAAAGGAAAAGGCAGTCGGGTGGTGGTGGCACACATCTTTGATCCTGGCACTTGGGAGGCAGGCAGATCTCAGTGAGTTCGAGGCCAGTTTGGTCTATAAAGTGAGTTCCAGGACAGCCAGGGCTACACAGAGAAACCCCCCCCAACCCCCCCAAAAAATAGAGAGAAGGTACTAAATAATTTTGCATGAAGTAGTAGTGGTTTTATTTTTGGTAATCACCAACACTTCTTTTTTAAATATGCACAAACCTAAGTTACTTCTATGTGATGAAAAAAAATGTTTTAAGAACTTGAAGTTACAGAAATTATGTAGTTAAAAAGAAAGTAAAAACTGAACAGATTCTAAGATATGCTGGATACCATTAAACATATTCACATAGGTAATTATAGCTGTATCAAGAGGCAAAGAGAGAAAAATGAAAAAATCAATACTCCAAATACTGCCTGAAACTCTCCCTAAATTACTGAAAAATAAAATACATATCCAGGAAAGTTGTGAACTCAGTCTAAGTACAACAGATGCAAACAGAGTTACAATAATAATAATAATAATAATAATAATAATAAAAAATGCTGGAAGATACAAGAGACAAATCTTAAAAGCAGATAGCTCATTATATAGAAGGCAGTAAGACAAATGCTGATTTTGTAAGAAGACAGTAAGGTAACAAATCCTCGGAGTGCTGTAATGTCCCACTGACCAGAACGCTGGTGTACAGCATAACTGTTTTTGGAAGTGAAGAAACTACAAAGAACATTCCAAGATAAACAAGTCTGAGACTCTGGCTAGCCAGCCTACTAGCTACAAAGAAGTAGTAATGGAAGTTTCTGAAACTGAAAGCAAGTGACCTGTCTTAGTTTTGTGTCCTGTTGCTAAGAAATACCTCAACACAAGCAATTTGAAGGGCGAAACTGATTATTCAGCTTACAATTCTAGGTTACAGCACATCACTGTGGGGAAGCCAAGACAAGAATTTGAAGCAGGTAGTCACATCCATAGACAGGCAGAGAGTTACTGCACAGAGAGAGTGGACGTGCTAGCTAACTCTGCTCACTGTTTCCTCCCTTACACAACCCAAGAACCAAAGCTGGGAATGGTGTGTCCCACAATCTGGCTGGGTCTCCTCCCATTAGCTCATGTTATCAAGACACCCTCAAACCCTAGACAGCATAGGCCAATCTAATTTAAACAATTCCTCAATTTTGAGACTCCTCTTTACAAGTGATTTTAGAGTGTGTCAAGGCGACAAATTAAATTAGCCATCATGTGATTTCAGACTTTAATTTGAATTCGAACGAAAAAGCAAAAGATCCAACGAGTATAAAATAAGCCAAACTCAGAAAGGCAAGCATTATTATGTTTTTTCTCATATACATTATCAAGATTTAATATAATTATAATCACAACTTTTAAGTATATATAATTATATATATGTATATATACATATATGTGAAAAGAGAAGGGGAATCATGAGGAGGAAAAGCCTTAAAGGAAGAACAGGAGGGGTAATAAGGAGAAAGGCAAAACATCTCGAGTTTTTTCTCATATATATAAGCAATCAATTATCTATCTGTCCATCCACACATATATATGTATATATAAAGTAATTTAGAAAGATAATATAATGCATATTTTTTCATTTCTTTTCTTACATGATTCAACCAAGTAATGCACTATATATACTTATGTCAAAAAGAAACTGCTGTACAAATATGAGGAGCTGAGTTTGATTCTCACAGAATCCAGTAAAAAGCCAAGTACAATGGAGAGTGCTTGGACTCTTAGCTCAGGGGAGGGAGATCCCTGGGGCTTGCAAATGAGTGAACTCCATATTCACTTGAGAGATGTCAAACTCTGGCATCCACACACATGTGCATAAAAACCCTGCCACATCCGTGACAGCACACACATGCGCACACACCAATATTTAACCAAAAAAGGAAGTGAACAGATCTCAAGGCAATAACCTCATCTCCTACCTTAGAGAATTACAAAGAACAAACACAAAAGCAAGGAGGAAGGGGCTATGAACTTAAGAATAATTAAAGCAACACAATAATAAAACAACAGAGTAAACAATGAAAATGAAAAACTGATTCTTTGAAAGGACGGTAGAAGGCACTTTATTTCTGGCTTTACCAAAATAAATGGCTTGTAAAGAAATACCATCAACAATTGTATTCCAATAAACTAGAAAATTCAGATGAAATGGACGATTCCTAAAAATCACAGAAAAGTGGTGAAACCGACTCAAGAAGAAAAAGACCGTTTAAAAATGATCTCTAAGAAATGAAGTGTGGGGGCTGGAGAGATGGCGGCTCTTCCAGAGGTCCTGAGTTCAATTCCCAGCAACCACATGGTGGCTCACAACTGTCTGTAATGAGATCTGGCGCCCTCTTCTGGCCTGCAGGGACACACGCAGACAGAATACTGTATAAATAATAAAATAAACCTTTGAAAAAAAAAAAAAAAGAGAGAGAGAAATGAGGTGTGATCCTAAAACTACCCGGAAGAGAAATGCTAGCACAGCTCTAGCACCACTGAATTCTAGAAAACATTTAAACATTTCAAGAGTATTAAAACTTCCCAAATGCCTCCAAAAAATAGAGAAAGAAGGGATATTTCTCAACCCATACTATAAAGCCATTACTATTCCAACCCCAAAATCCAAAACAAAAAAGGCACAAGAAAACCACAGACTATTATCTTTTATGAACATAAGTCTTTAGCAAAATACTAGGAAACCACATCTGTCTGTTTAGATGTGTAAGAACAATACCGTAAAAATATAGGTATCAAATATACTGTCAAAAACTAGGAAGAACTCTGGGTACCCTAACACTGAAAATCTTATCGTATGGATCAGAAACCAACCCACCAATGCCTGTTCTCATGGCTGTCCAACATCTCACTAGCTTCAAGGACAGCAAGTAGGGATGAAAAAGCAAAGTACGTGTATCAAAACCAAAGAAATCAAAATTACTTTTCTCAGATGATCTGATCTTACAAAAAGCAAAAAGAAGATATATAATTAGAGGCAACAAATGAACTCAGTAAGTTGCAAATGACAAGGGCAACATATCAAGAACAGTTGTGTTTCTGTATGTAACTAGCATTATAACCCCACACTGAAACTATATAATATAAGCAACTTCATGCATAATAATCCAACAAAAATAAATACCTAAGAATAAATTTAAAGTACAAAATCTATACTCTGAAAATTACAATGTATTGTTTGAAGAACTTGACAAGCTGATTTTAAATTCATGTGGAATTGCAAGGGCTCAGGTTAGCTTAAATAATCTTAAAAAAGAACAAAGTACTGGATCATACCCCCATTATAAAACTCACTGACGATGAGAACAATTGAGGCTGGCAAAAGGATAGATACAGATTTCAGGAATAAAATTATGTATTTTTCCCCCTCAAAAGAACCCAACTAGAGGAATGAGCAGTGTTCCAAGACATGCTATTGAGACAGCTGACAGCTACTTCCACAAGAACTGTGGTCTTTATGTCACACATACATAGAAATGAGACAAATGGATCAAAGACCTAGCTGTAAAAGTTTAAGCTAAAAAGACTTAGATACATGGTAAAATATTCATAACACAGGATTTGACAAATGATTTTTAGAAAGCACACTAAAAGCATGAATAATAAATAAAAGAAAAAATTTGTACTTCATTAACAATAAAAACTTCTGTGATTCAAAACACCACCCAAACTGTAGAAAACATTTGAAAATCATAAGGTTTATCAAAGACTGATTAGAATGCACAAAGAACTTTGGAAATTCAACAGCCCATTACACAACCTGGAGAGCCTGAGCAGACAACTCTCCACTAAAGATATGCACATCATTAGCACATCAACAGATTTGCAGCAGGGGGCTAGGTTGGCAAGCCTGATCTTGGCACTCACATGGAGGAAAGAGAAGACCAGCTTCTGTGTGCTGTCCACTGATGCTATGGCACACTCCTACCTCCCTACAGCAAATAAATGTTTAAAAAATAGCATCATTATCAGTCACTCAAGCCTCAGTGAGAAGCGAGTTTATACCCACTAGGATAGTCAGAAAACCACAAACAGTAATTGTTATAGGGAATGTTGAGAAATCACAATTCTCACACATACTAGAAAGAAAAATGATAATAATGAAAAATGGTGGAGTCACTTTAGAAACTAAAATTATAAAATGGTTGAATCTATGAAATTATCAGAGAGTGAATTTTTTAAGACTAAGTTTGATTAAACATAATTATCAAATTTACTCCTAGGTGTGTGTTTATGTATATATGTGTGTGTGTATATATATATATATATATATATATATGAGAAATGAAAAAGTGCAAGCTTACAGAAATATGTACACAATGAATATCATCATTCTAGTCAAAATGTAAAAGCAATCCAGATTTCAAGTGACATATAAATAGGTACAGCATAACAAACCCATGTAATGAATTATTACTTGGTCATAAAGACGAATAAAGTGCTGGTTCATGTTACAACATAGAGAAGCCTTAAAAACACGCCAAATGATAGGGATTCAAGGGAGCTGGAAGGGAAATGGGGATGAATATGTTATTTCATTGGATACATGTATGAAAGTCTCATAAAGAAGTAATTATGAAGTAAGTCCTTAACCAACACCACAGAGTATGATTTTGTGTATATAAATGTTACAGGCAGAAAGCACATTAACATTTATACAGAACTAAAACAGTGAAGATGGGATGAGAGACTCTTGAATTTGACCAGGTAATAACTACAACTTTATCTACAAAGTCTGGTAATATTTTCTTAGATTTTCTCTTTTCATATCCTATCCTGCCAAATGCTGTCACTCTAAGTCTTACCTCTGTTGTCTCAGTCACCTCGGCTTTTGTGACAAGATCTGCTATGGCATATACAAATCCAAGATCCAATCTGAGATCCATTTCTTGAATCAACACTTTGAAATACCTATATTAAAATGTGGAAAACATGAAAAAATTTTCAAGTAAATACATTAAGGAAATTAGATAAAATAAATTGGAACTTTGAAACTTGGGACTAAAGGAATGAATGCAATGAACCATGCTATATTGTAACAGCAAAAAACTCAAAATATGAAAATGGTCACAGGAAAGAAATTCACTTATGACAAAAGTTATGGAACAGACCATTATATAGCAACAACAATGAACAAGCAAAAACTATATGTGGCAAATCATTACATTTAAATAAAAATTTTACTTAAAAAAGCAAGTTCTGAAAATCTTTTATACTTTTAAATATTTTGAGAAAATTAGACATCAGTTTGCTAGCTAGAGAGATGGCTCAGTGATTAAGAGAACTCACTAGCTGCTGTTCCAGAGGATTCAGGTTTGATTCCCTCCAGCCACGTGAGGGTTTATAATTGTCTGTAACTCTAGTCCCATGGAATCCCATGCCCTCTACTGCCTCAGCAGGCACCTGACATGTATACAGGCAAGACACTCAAAGTAAAAATAAAGGCAAACATTTTCAAGAAAATTGGAAACTAAAAATAAAAGCATGTTTAGCCATACACACATAGTAACAATATATTATTTATTTTTAAATTTTATCTCTTCTCAGTGTGCGTGTGTGTGGGTATGTGTGCCACAGTACACTGTGTAGGCAGTTCTCTCCTCCCACCATTATGAAGATTCTGGGGATCAAACTCAAGCTTTATGAGGCTTGTGCTAGTGTCTTTATTCACTAAGACATCTCACCAACTCCATAATACCGAATTTTTTTTAAAGCAATGGAATAAATACAGTTTATTTATCACAGTGATAAGTAGGAAGAAATGAAGAGGGGAGTATCACTTAGATGGATGCTGTGGTCCATAATCTGTTTCACGGAATGAGTGAGTTGTGAGTAAAGATGGAAATCTTACTTTTGTTGCTGTTTCGAAAACAATCTATGTTCATTATAAATAAGTTAAAACAGAAAAAAATGCATATGAAAGTAAAATAATAAAGTACCCAAGATCCAGAATCAGCTATTGTTAGCCTCCAGATACAGTATAACCAGAATCTTCTCACTTGCTAAGATCATCAACTACTCAAGAGATTTTATTTTACCTTTAAAATTTATTATCTTACACTTAAATATTTGACTCACCTGAAATTTAGTTTTAACAAGAATAAAAATATTCAAATGTTCAGACAAAAAGTTAAATAAACACAAAAGAAATGTATGAAGCACTTACTTAATGCGTGATATTTGGGAATGTCCTGCAGATCTCATGACAATACTAACATCTGTAAAGGGCTTTGGTGCTGTGAAGGTTAAAAATATGATTATGCTCATCACATTTTAAGCCAAAAGATGGGCATTTTCTTTCAATTTAATATATATATATATGTCAATGGAAAATCAATCATGTGGTAAATCAGCAGCATCAATTAATGATATCCACAAGGTCATTTAGTCTTCATTTCAGATCCTAGAACTACCTTTAGCTATCTACAATCATTTTAAGGATAACTAATTACAAAATTTAATGACTTTAAATTAGAAGTATGGATTAGAATCATAAGCAAATTGGGAAAACATATTAGAGAGACTTGCATGGTTCATGCTTCTAAGGGATTAGCATATGCATGTAAAGTGGTTAAAAGATTTGCAAGAAATTACGAAGAAAAGCCACTAGAAAGTATGAAGTTCATGATATGGAATCTGTGGTGAGAACAAGGGAAAAGGGAGGCAAAGAGAGGTGGAATATAAAGGTGGTAAGGACCAAAGAGAAAGTATTGTAAAGAGGGAGAAACAAGGAAGACAGAAGAAAAAACACCGAAGAAGAGAGAGAAAGGTTGAAGAAGGAGTGTCAGTTATTCTCATCTGGAGAACACAGAACTATTCAGAAAAAATGCTAAGTCTAGGGGTTGGAGAGATGGTTAACAGGTTAAGAGCATTTGCTGCTCTTCCATGCACCCACACTGGGCAGCATACGACCCATAATTCTAGTTCCAGGGCATCTGATGCCCTCTTCTGGTCTCCTTAGGCACCAGGTATGCACACATTGTACATATACACTCCCAGGCATACACGTAAAATAAACAAAATCTTTAAAAAATTAAATCTAAATTTTTCTCATTGTTTATTCAGTTCCTAATATTTTTTAAATTATAGGTTATTAATTAGTTTACTTATCAGCAATATGATTTAAACTTCATATTTCAACTCCAAACTTCAAACTCCAATACATATATTTCAAGTAACCTTTCCCTCAGCAGTCACATGATGTTCTGTTGAATAACTCTTAGTCCTTCAGTAAGCAGTTTTACTATCTAATGATCTAGAAAAACTAAACTTGAGAATGCTACCTTTATAGCCAAAAACAAAACAAACCAAAAAACAAAAACAAAAGAAAACAAAAAAAAAAAACCTCAACTAGCCACACAACTATTTATACTAAAATCTAAAAATAAACACAAACCTGAGTCCATGGTGACAGACTTTGGAGGTTTAACAGGGTAAAACACGAAAGGAAAAATAGCACCATGAATCTGGTTTTGGATCTAAGAAAATGAAACATGAATCAGTATACAGAATGTCACATATACAACCTGACCAGAATAATAGAATTTCAGAACTAGAGGGATTCAGACTAGTCAACACGTAGCTGATACAAGGTGAAGATTCAGTATATTCCTTTCTCGTCTCCAACTTCCATCCCTCCCTTCTTTACATACTCTTTATCTTTTCTGTACTTTCCTTCTTCTCTCTTATCTTTCTTTCTCTCTTTCTCTCAAACTATCCCTCCATACTCCATGCCCCCTTCCCTTCTTAGACACAGAGTCTCATTCCAAAACCCAGGCTGGCCTTGAATTCATGGTGAAACTCCTGCCTCAGTTTATCAAGTGCTGGGATTATAGACATGTGTAATCCTGGTTTCTTTTCCAGTTTCTCAGTGTGCTTTCTACTCACTGGCTTCCATCTTGCCTTCTTCTTTGGCTTTATACTAGATGAAACAGACCAGGGGAACATATCTGGGCTTTTACTGTTTTGCCTTCATTTCCAGACTTACCTGTATTCTATAAATTTGAATTCTGAATGATGACTGGTGTGCAGATGTGTTATATTCTACTTTTAGTGCTGGGAGGTAATTTCTCCGTAAAGGTATCTCATGTGGTTGCAGAATTTTCATATCATTGCCACTAGGTGTTAAGCGAACCTGAAAAAAAAAAAAATTACGCCCCACAACAATGAGCTACTTCTTTTTCAACCATTGATTAAGATTATAAATTTATATGAAAATAACTTTAGGATACAGTAATTTAAAAAGTAAAGTCTACAGAAGAGGGTGCTGGGGTCAGGGGAATGAGGAGGAGCAAAGTATAATGATATATATTCATGAAACCCATTCCTTTGTATGCTAACTCAAAAAATAAATTAAAGCTGAACATGCTAGTGCATGTCTATAATCTCAGTACTCTGGAGGCATACAAAGAGGACTGCTATCCTCAAGGACAGCTTAGTCTACATGGTGAGTTCTAGGTCAGCCAGGGCAAAACTAACCAAACCATAGCAAACCCAAAAGAACAGAAAAAAATTTTTAAAGTACAGATTTAAGATTCAAATCTTTATGTTCATATCCATAAAATTAATATAAATATTCACATAAATTTTATGGGTTGGCTGCATCACTTTTTATATTTAATTACTCAAACTGACTTTAATAAAATAATGCAAATCTTTTTTTTTTTTTTAAATTTATTTTGCAATACAATTCAGTTCTACATATCAGCCACGGATTCCCTTGTTCTCCCCCCTCCCGTCCCCCTCACCTTCCCCCCAACCCCCCCCCATTCCCATCTCCTCCAGGGCAAAGCCTTCCCCACAGACTGAGGTCAACCTGGTAGACTCAGTCCAGGTAGGTCTAGTCCCCTCCTCCCAGGCCGAGCCAAACAATCCTGCATAGGCCCCAGGTTTCAAACAGCCAACTCATGCAATGAGCACAAGATCTGGTCCCACTGTCTGGATGCCTCCCAAACAGATCAAGCCAATCAACTGTCTCACCCATTCAGAGGGCCTGATCCAGTGGGGACCCCTCAGCCATTGGTTCATAGTTCATGTGTTTCCATTCATTTGGCTATTTGTCCCTGTGCTTTATCCAACCTTGGTCTCAACAATTCTCGCTCATATAAACCCTCCTCCTTCTCGCTAATTGGACTCCCAGAGATCCACCCGGGGCCTAGTCATGGATCTCTGCATCCAGATCCCTCAGTAGTTGGATGAGGTTTCTAGCACAACAATTAGGGTGTTTGGCCATCCCATCACCAGAGTAGGTCAGTTCGGGCTGTCTCTCGACCATTGCCAGCAGTCTGTTGTGTGGGTATCTTTGTGGATTTCTGTGGGCCTCTCTAGCACTTTGCTTCTTCCTATTCTCATGTGGTCTTCATTTACCATGGTCTCCTATTCCTTGTTCTCCCTCTCTGTTGTTGATCCAGCTGGGATCTCCCGCTCCCCCAAGCTCTCTTTCCCTCGACCCTCGCCTTTCATTACCCCCACTCATGTCCAGGCTGTTCATGTAGATCTCATTCCATTTCTCTGTCATAAATAATGCAAATCTTAAAATAAAAAAGATCTTGCTTCTTGTTACTTTAAAGAATAATTAGTAACTGGTATCTTGAGAATGTTCAACCTCTTAATATAAAAGCAGCTCAGATGAATATATATTGGTGCTAACCACATTCAATATATTTTTTAATAAGTCAGTTTCTCCTTAAAATTCAGAAATAATTCAAACTAGAATGCAAAATTAAAATTTCACATCAGGACTTTTTAAATTTACCGGAATGTTACTGTCCAGCTCAATAACCTTGTCTTCCAACGGTGAAGACTCCAGGTATTCCTTCAATTCCTTCTCCAGCTTCTCATTGTGTTTTACACTCATTGGTCTCCACCTTGCCTTTTTCTTTGGTTTTGTTTCCCAAACCACATCAGAACTTACATATGAAAGCAGAAATCACAGTATTAATTTATAACAATTAAACTAGTGTATTACATTAACTACAGAACCTCCACTCTAGTTTTCCAATAGCCTCAGTTATAAGTAAGCACATTTTCCACTTAAAAACATAAATTTACTCAACTAATACTTATTGAGGTTTTATTCAGGCAGTGTTCTAAGTAGAAGGAAAATACCACTGAGCATCCCTGTCATTCTTCATTTTCACTAAGGAGTTATAGATAATAGTAAACTTGAATAAATCAATTTGATTATGTAGGAGGGAAAAATGCTTTTGAAATAAGAAAATGTAGATAGTCTAAGACAGATTAGCTCCCAGAAATGGTAGGAACCACTGTATTAAAATGGAATGGTCAGTAGGGCCTCATCAACAAGGTGAAATTTTTGCAACCTTTAGGGAGGCAAAGAGGGTAAAAACATTTCAGATATGTGACCAGCTTTAATAAAGACCCTAGAGCAGTAGACAATTGTGGTGCATGAAGAATAGAAAATAAAAAAATACTAGCATGGTAGGAAACACTAGGGGTAGAGATAACAGAAGCCAATGAGAAGCCAAATCAGGTAAAGTCTTTAAGAAACAGACTCCGAGTTTTATTCTTCAAATATTATTTCTAATATTAATGCATCTAACCTTGTAATGCCTATATAGGCTACTTCTTGCTTGGTGTAATTATTGACAAGTGAAATTCCAACATCTTGTAAAGCCAATACAATTTCTTGCTCTGCTAATTCTGCCTTTTCACTTTCATATGTTACTTTAAACACTTTTGGATCTTCAGTGAATAAAATAATACGCTGCAAGCCTTCAAAGAATGACACTAAATAAATGACTTTCTTCCCCACACTTATAGGTGTCATCATATCCTAAAAGAAAAAAAAAACAAAAAAGGGAATCAGTTTGTACCCAACAAACATTAAGTCTATACTTGACATTTATATGATGAGAATACGAATAGCCTTCCTTTCTAAAGCAAGGGGAGCAAACTAAATGAACACTTGCATATCACTTGGAGAAAGTTATCACTCATAAGAGCTATTTTAGACAATTCATGATAATCCACAGAATGAAAACTTGTAAATACCTGGAAGATTTCCTCACTAAAATAACCGGATGTCAGCTGCTACATTATAATGATATCATTAATCATGAAGTAAAAATCAGTTGTCTCAGTACATTCAGATCATAATAAAATCTAATTTAAAGTCTTATAAACTAAACTAACAACACAAAACAATATTTTTTCTACTTCATTTTAACTCTATGGTTATAGTACATATTAAAGGTTGTTTAAGCCTCAAATTCACTTTTCTTTACACAGCTATCTCAGTTGCAAGCCTTATAAAGCATCGATTGCATCTACAATCACAGGACTTATGAGTTTGAGGCAAAAGGATTGCCAAAGGCTGAGCTAACCTATGCTAGAGTGGGAGCCCTTGTTTCAAAAAATAAGACAAACATATGTAACAACAAAAAAATAAAACATTGATTTTTTTCCACAGGGCTACTTAGGAATCTCCTTTATAAATACTGTGTTGGGAGCCAGTGAAATGGCTCAACAGTAAAAACGCTTTTAGTCAAGCCTGATGACCCAAATCAATCTCCAGGACCTATATGGTAGAAGGAGAGAACTGATTCACATAAGTTGTCCTCTGACCTCCACAAGGTGACCTGTGGTACACTTGTACTCATATGTGTGTATACACACACACACACACACATCTACACATATAATAACACGTAGATTAAAAGGTAAAAATAAATGAATAACATTGCATTGATATCAGACCTTTAGATTCAATGATAAAACTAATGTAATAAATTAACCATAAATTCTAGTTAATAAGTATTCTGATTAACAGAATAGTTTAATACTTAATTCACATTTATGTTATAATACACAGAAATTAAAAACTGAAGTTACCACAAAATTATTACCTAGGTACCACAGCATTAGCTACAAAAACTTTTAAAATAAAATACATAGTACTAGAAGTACAGAGAATTAAGAAAACAGGTATTTCCAAATAATTTGAATCTCTAATATGCCAAATTCCAAACTTATTTTTATAAACATCAAAGTATTAGTATTATTTAACTCTGCAATGTAATAATAAAGAGATCATATAGGCCATTAATCCCAGTACTTGGGAGGCAGAAGCAGGTAGATATATGTAGTTTGAGGTCAGCCTAGTCTATATAGCACATTTCAGAACATCCAGGGTTATTTAGGAAGTCCCTGTCTCAAAACTAAAGCAAACCAAACCAAATCAAATCAAACAAACAAACAAAAACAAAAACAAAAACCTGCTAATCAAGAATTTTAAAAAATTAAAGTTAGGCTAATTATATGATGTAGCATGAATCTTAAAAGTTCTTATTAATAAAATCAAACCTGGGGCCAGTTATTGGGGTGAAATGCTGGATGGTCAGAGAGACAGAACAAGCCACAGCTAACCTCACCTGGCCAACTTCTCAGCTGATCTTGTTTCCTCAGACTGGAAGCCTCTGTGTCCTCATCCCAATGGCTCTCCTGAACTGTGCTGCTTAAAAGCCTGAATGCTTAACCAGCCAAAAGCTTAACCAGCCAAAAGCTTAACCAGCCAAATGCTTCTAGGTTCTGGTCCTTATGCCTTATATACCTTTCTGCTTTCTGCCACTATTCCTTGGGATTAAAGGCTCGCTTTCTGAGATTAAAGGCGTGAGTCACTATGCTTGGCTGTATCCTTGAACACATGGATTTCTGCTTCTGGAATGCTAAAATTAAAGGTGTGAGTGCCACCATTTTCTAGCCTTTGTATCTAGTGGCTGTTCTGTCTCTGACCCCAGATAAGTTTATTAGGGTGCACAATATTTTGGGAACACAATAACACCACAATATGAAATCTGCTTTAAAACAAAATCAACTAAAGCCCACACTGATAGACAAAGGAAAAAGAAATCCAGCTATTACAGGAAGTCTGGAGAAATGGGTACTGATTAAAAGTATTTCCCAACATACACATTAGGCAGCTCACAACTATCATATGCATTCAGTTTCAGAAGATCTGACATCCACTTCTGATGGGAACTCGTATGCATATGGTCTACATAAATCGTGTGCAGGCAACACATCAACACATAAACTAAAATCTAAAACAGTACAAGTAGTATGAAAAGACAAAGAAACTGAACACAGAATTTCTTATTTGGTAAAATACTTTTTATTGAAGAAAAGTATGCAAAACAAAAATGCTTATAGAGGGCTGGGAAATGGCTAGTGGTTAAGAGCTGTAAAACTGGTGATTTCGGTCCCTGAAATGATCATCATTTGTTTTTACAGCTGCCACTGAGAAATGAATTCTTTTAGTTTAGGTACCTTATAGAGTTGAAATCTAGTTACGGTAACTGTCAGTATGGGGCAAGGATACTTAAGAGGTGAATGCTGAAAGACTTCTTCAAGTACACCAACTTTTATTAACAGTAAAAGCAAATGATGATGTAAACAAAATCGGACTTGCAGTTCTTGGTATGTTTGGAAAAGATCAAGTGTGACAGGACTAATTCTGTACATTGACCACAAGGAACGATTACACTCTGCTGTTTCTTCTAAATGCCAACTCTTGCTATGGGCTTACATACTCCTTTAGAGAAACAACAGGTTGGTTACTAGCTTCCATTTCTACTTAGCTTCTGGTTGGAATTTGAAAAAGGCAAACCTAAATAAAACTGGCAAAAGTTAAAAACAACTTCAATACTGCTTTTTTAAAATCTTTGCTAGCTTTTACAGAATAGCAAAAAACAGTCCTTAAAATCAACTAGGGGTAAAAAAATATATGCATAAAAAAACAAAAAGGCAGCTGAGAATCCCATAATGACCGACTTAGTACTTACATCCTTATGTGTTACTTCACCATGGCTTTGCCCACAACTCCACTTCAGCTTTCTAGAGCCCACTGGATCAGCCCATGTATAATAAACCGCTTTTCCAGGAGGAAGGGAATCTTCTATTTCACTGAGAGAACTGACATTAAGTAATAAAAATATGCAATAAATTAAATACAATTGACAAATACATAAAAATCCTAAATAATATTTCATTCTTATCCCATTACTTGAAATTTGTAAAAATTCTAATTAAGACTAGAAAAGGTTTTTTCCCCCTTACACAATGAAAAGAGCAAGTCTATATGACCTTTCAGAATGTTATACCTCTTCCAATGAAAAATGTATTCTCTAAGAAAACAAGAATATTTCAAGGGAAACATTTTTCTAAGAAAATGAAGACCTTCAAGAGTCTAAACTTAGTATTTGTTTTACTTTAAATTATAGAAATATATTCTAAAAGTACTACATAGGAGCTGGAGAGGTGGCTCAGATGGTAAAAGTATGTGCAGCTCTTCTACAGGATTTAGGCTCAGTTCCCAGCACTCACCTCAGGAGACTTATAACAACCTACAACTCTAGTTCCAGAGGGCCGGAGATACCCTTTCTGGTCTTTGAGAGCAACTGCACACATATGATATGCACACCCACATACACAGAAAGACAAAAAGTACTGTAGCTCAAAAGTAGTACAGATCCTGAGTTTAATATCCAGACTCAAAACTAATCAAACAACAGTAACAACGAAAAGTGAAAATTAATTAGAAATGATGCTAGTTTCACAAATCCACAAATAGGACAAGTTATTTTCCAAATTATTAGATAATATATATGATACAATATTATGGCAAAGGACAGGGAATATGGCTCCATGGATTAAGTGCTTGCAGCATTACTGTGAGGAACAGAGTCTGGATCACTAGAGAGAGTTTCCTAAAGCCCAGACTCAGGACGCAGAGACAAGGGATCCCTTCGGCAAGCTAGCTAGCAAGACTAGACAGAATCTACAAGCTCCTAGCTCAGCTAGAGACTCACCTCAACAAATAAAATGGAGAGCGATTGAAGGCACAAACACACACAAAAAACCAAAAACAAACAAGGCAAGAGATAAAATTCAGTTATAATTATTAAAATGGGTTAAAGATTCTTATTAAAAGATAAACAACCTGACCTAATGGCATAACTATGTTATCCCAATAGTTAGGAGGCAGAGGCAAGATATTTTTGAGTTTAAGGCTAACCTGGGCCACACAATAAAACTCTGTGTCTAAACACTGGGAGAAAAACACTAAATGAGAACATTATAAAGCTGGAAATGAACAAAATTCTAGACACATGTTCATCGAAAATCATGTTTTGAAACAATTTATACTTGCCACACTGCTAAAAGTTAAACTGATAGGTAGGTGAAAGAGAAAAGGAGCATGGAAAGGAATGCATCAAAATATGGAAGTGCTGGGATTAGAGAGATCATATATCTCTTTTGAATGCTTGCTTACTGTAGAATCAAAATGAAGAGTTACGCTATACACAGGACATGAGAGACTTACTCAACAAAATCCTAAATACACCTAAAACAATCTTACCACTTTTTAAAAAGGAACTCAAGACACCAAGAGGGAACCCCCCCCCCCCATCCCCATCGGTGTTCCTCATGCATCAGAGAAAAAAAAGAAATGTAAACATGTTCATTAGCAGATAAATTCCTCTTTAAATGAAAAATGTCAGTTTGATTGACTATAAAATACTTCTTATAAAAAAATTTAATCAAGTTTTATCACTGATAGCTATGAGAATTCAAAGAAAAGGAAAACTAAGAATGTTAGCTATGTATTTGTATGCATCTTAAACATGGAGAAATGAACCTTGCATGCAAAGGTATAATAAAAAACTATGTACAGCATTTACAGGATCACAAAGAGCTTCTTCAGCAGTCAGGCTCATCATACAGGGAAACATCCAGGGAAGAACCCAGAATGTTCAGGAAATACAGACCTTAGTTTTGTAGTGTAAGAGGCACACCACTGAGAAAAGTGCTTAGAAAGGTAGTCTAGAAACACTTTTTTATTTAATCAACAATTAGAACTATATGTCAGTGAAAGGAAGTATGCATAATGCACTAAAACTAACAAATGAAAATAAATAAAAAACCAAGAAAAAGCAAATTCGAGGGCACTCTGGAATCACAAAGTAGAGGAATATACACCCGTACTAGCACCCCTAAATGATGTAACCTTGTGGTTTTTGCCTTTAAAAACTGAGCTTGCAGAGGGGCGGGCACCTCCTCCAGCCTCTACTGTGTTGGATGGCTTGACGAGGTCCCTGCCCTCCAACTGCTTCAATAAACCTTGCTTTTGCATTTCGGTGAGTTCGTGTCTCTGGTGGTCTGTTCAGGGGTCTTGCGCCCAGGTCACATCAACCTAAACCTGCTAGTCATAAATTACTATATTGTGACAATCACCTTACCTTTGCTTGTACTGAACAAGGTCATTCTTGGTATGATTTATTAGTAGGAATGTAGCTGCTCCATCATGGTAATCTGAAAACGTAATAACTGTAGAGTGCTCAGCCAAATTAACTTCTGCAATAATTCCTCCAAGCTTAAAAGAAAAAATTTTAATGTGATCATCTTGCTAAGAATATTAACTGATAGCATTTAATAATAAAACCATTCATATGATAGCTTATGCCACATTAGGTTCCAAATGTAGCAGGCTTTTTTTTTCTTGGGCCACCAACCAGCTCCCAAATCATGACATGGAGACTTAGAGTATTATTTATGAATGCTTGGCCTTAGCTTATGCTCAATTCTGGCTAACTTTCTTTCTTTAACTTAATCTGTTTCTCTTCATCTATGTTTTGCCTCAGGACCTTTTACCTTTCTTTCTGTATGTCATACTCTGTGTCTGCTGGCTGGTGACTGCCTGGCTAGCCCTGGGCATCTCCCTTTCTTTCTCCCTCATTCTCCCCTTTCTTCTCCCTCAAACCTAGATTTCTCCTATTACTTATTCTCTCTGCCAACTAACCCCACCTATCCTTTTCCTGCCTAGCTATTGGCCGCTCAGCTCTATTTTTAGAGCAATTGGGTACCTTAGGCAGGCATGGTTAAATAGCAACATATCTTTACATAATTAAACAAATGCAGCACAAACAAAAGTAACACACCTTTACACAGTTAAAGTGACATTCCACAGCATAAACAAATGTAACACATCTTTGCCTAGTTAAAATAATATTCCACAACATCTCTATGTATGTTCATTATGGTACAATATCTTAGAATAGTTTAGGATTCTGTGAAGAATTAGAACACAATCCATACTTTTGTCATTTCTGGCAAACAATGAAACTCTATTGTATGCACATGAAATTTCAAGTGTTTATTTTCTAGACATGCCCACAAACTTTCTATATGACAAATTATTTTGTATTTGTTTCACCTTTTCTTTTATAAAAAGAAATGGTGGTTAATTTTTAGTAAAGGAGGAAAATCATCAGGAAATTATTTGTTACAAACAGCAAAGTGTAGTGCGCATGCCGCACGCGCGCGCGCGCGTGCGCACACACACACACACACACACACACACACACACACACACACACACACACACATATATATGTTTTTCTGATGATACATGCAAGATAATGATCATGAACATCAAGGAAAAGCACTGACCTCATTATTCAGACGCAATAAAATACAACTGTCTTGCTTGTTAAAATGTATCCTTTTGGGAGGACCTTCACTCCTTTCAACTTGAATAAGAAGAATATTGGAGGCATTCTCAGGCCAAAAGGGGATACACTAAAAATAAATTACACATATTTAAACAGATTTCATCATAAATACTATGTCATTTAATAGCCTCAGAGAGCAGCAAGTAAACTTTCTGCCCACACTGCTGCCACCCAAGAACCTTCAAGACTCAAAGTAGCAACAATACTAATATAAGCTTTTCCCAATGAGAAACCAAGTAAGTTTAAAATGATGTGCATTCTAAACACCCCCAAGCCTGATGTTCCTTAAGATTCCTAGTTTCAAACTGTATTTTTAATGTTTAATAACATAACATATAAAATAACAATACAATGTCTTTTCTAACTTTTAATGCATGTGATCTCTTCAGACTGGAGAATATGCTAAATTTCTTTTAAATTTTTTGGTTGGAAAGTAGAACTTAACAAGACATAATGGTCATGATCATAAATCTTAATTATTGTAAGTCAAATTAGAATGCAAAATTTTAAGCACGCAAAAGAAAATTTTTCTTAGATGAAATTGAAAAAGAAAAAAATTAAAATTGAAAAACTGTCTACAGATGTAGTTTACAAATGATGATAATCAGGATGCAACAGTATCTTTGAGTGATAAAATTTACAAGATGAAAATGTTAAAAATTAAAGTACAGAAAAGATATGCTTAAAGTATATAAAAATAAAAGAAAGCTATAGTTAGCAACATCTAGATATATCTAGAATTCTATATCCAAAAATTGTTGTGGAATAATCCTTTATACTGTGTGAAGGTGTGTCACTGGGATTGGTTTTATAAGAAGCTAAATGGCCAATAGCTAGGCAGGATTTTCAGGGCAGAGAAAATGATGGGAAGAAGGCAAAGACGCCAAGGAGATGCTAGGGATGCAGAGAAAGCAGCATGGGCTTTACAAAGTAAAGGTAGTAGAGCCATGTAAAAGATCATAGATTAAAAGATATGAGTTAAGTTATAAGAACTAGTTAGAAATAAGCCTAAGCTGACAGTTGAACTTTCATAATTAATAATAAGTCTCTGTGTCATGATTTGGGAGCTGACAGGAGGGAGAGAAAAATCCACCTACATATGGTGCCCAATGTCTGGCCACCTATATCCACATAAGGCCTGAGAAAGTTTAAAAAAAGACACAGCTTCCTGATGACTGTGGTCTCTTGGGTAGGGTCAGTGTTAGTGGCATAGAGAGGAGCAGCTCTTTAAGAGGCTCTGCTAAAAGCACTTGAATGGGGTTTATGAGAAGCAGTTAGTGCAGTACTGTGTTGCGTGAGACTTGGTAGAAATGCCTATAGCAGTGTGGACACAGAACCTTCACAGAGGGGGCTATAAACATGGGGGTGGTAAACATGGCTCCTGTCATGAGACTAGGTCCTCAGGGAAACGAATGGGGTGGAACCAGCGACCAGCTCGCCCTGAGTTAAGCTGGGTGGTGGTTTAAGATTTTCCTCAGGCAGACAGAAAAGGTTTACAGATATGCAGTAAAGAAGGTTCAGATGGTAAAAACCTCTAAACAGGTTACAGTGTGTTTAACAATGTGTACAGGCTTACAGAAAAAGAAAAAAGAAAAAGGTATAGACAGTCAAAAAAAAAAAAGAGAGAGAGAGAGAGTAAAATAACAACAACAATAACAAAAAGCCACGTAGATATAGGAAATAGAGAGTCTGGACCCTGTATGTTACTGTGCTGTCTTTGAATTTTTTGAATGATGATAAGCTGCTGGGAGACATGGGATTGTGAAAGGATCTGCTGAATTAAACCAGCCTAGCTACCTTAGAAATGCCTTAACTTTAATATATAAGTCAGTTTTGCTTTGGGGAAAAAGTTAAGCTTGTTTCCACAGAAAACGAAAGGCTGTGGATTCATTCAAAGTTAAAGAGAAGCAGGTTTGATCGGGAGAGACCCCCTGAAAATCATGGCCACAGAAATAAAGAAATAAACCTAAAAATAATACAACACAGGTGATATATATTTTTCTTGCTCAAACATAAAACAAAAAAAATCATCTTTGGCTCACTTGTGCACAATGCACAGTCTACACTTGTATTAATGCAGATATGTATATTACTTTTGAAAATCTGTGAGTTTTCAGAGCAAGGGGACCAGATACCAATGAAAACAGATGGCCTTGGTGATCCAGCCTCTCAGAATGTCTCTGCTGCAGTTTTCTCAGAGTTCTGCATCAGGAACAGTTTCAAGGCTGATGATTGAGATGATCTAGTCTCACAGACTACTTTAGCTAGGACTTGACCATTATCCTAATTTTCTAAGGGTCTGCCAAAGATGCCAGTGACCCCCAGACAATAGGAAGCAGTCTAAAGAACATAACATCCACATTCCCAAAAAATGGGGTGGGTAATTTTTGGTCATTTGGTGGATTATGGATGTTTATCATCATTTAGGGGGGTTGGTTACAAGTTGTTATTGGTCATAGTTAGGAAAAAGCTAAACAAAGGAGTTAGATTCAAGGATCTCTTTCTGAAGGGGGGGTATAGTATAGAAATGATAAGATAAAAGGGTGGATTTTTAAGTCTACTTAACAATCACTCATCTCAAATATTTTATGTTGGTATGGATTTTTGTATATTGATACAAATTTAAGGTTATTTTTGTTATACTGTATATGTTTCTACTCTTGTTTAAGGTATTGTACCTATGCAATTCATTTAACAATGTAAACTTCTAGTTCTTGAAAGTTATTTTTACAAATTATTTAGGATAATAAAGAAATGAAGGTTAATAGTTAATCACCTATTACAATCAAACTTGTAGTCAGGTTAGGTATGTTTTCAAGGTCAAACATATATTTTAGATAGACAGGTAGTCTTCAAACACTCAGAGACCTACAGAATATGGCATTTAATATAGTTTAATAACATAAGGCTTTTCATGACAATGAGACATATTTGCTCCTGACAGCACAAATTTACTTCATAGAAGATATTGGGAACTGAAGAAACTTCATATGGAGTTTCTTTCATTATGGCAAGGTTAGCCAATGGGCAAAGAACTATGGTTGCCTTGACTGCTGACAGTATGCTGTACAAACTGGACATGCAGAACACACAAGAAAGTGACTATCAAAACTATGCCAAAACAAGATGGGACAATTCAAAATTCCAGTTTCATAGAAGAATCAGCCAGATATTCTATGCCTATAGGCCCAAGACTGGATGCCCCAACATTAGAGAAGAACCTTGGGTGACTGGCCAAGCAGCTAGCTATTTCAATCATCTCTATAGTTTTGGAAGTGGCTTGCACTACACTTCCTGTTTACTCAGGTAATATTATATCCTTCTGGTCTTTGATGGAGTTCAAGACTAGATAATTATAGTTATAATTTTCCTTAGTTATGATAGAAGGTAATTTGGGTATAAAACTTTAGACTCATCAAGAGAAGCTAGATAATGAAATGCTTTCTCTAAATTTGCCAAATACTAATGGACTAGACATTATGAATGTAATTCTTACTTGATAATTGTTCTTATTGTATATAGTTATACTGTATTAGAGTTAAAACCTTTCCTTTTTAGTCAAAAAGGGGAAAATGTTGTGGAATAATACTTTACATTGTATGAAGACATGTCACTGGGATTGGTTTAATAAAAAGCTAAACAGTCAATAGCTAAACATTTGGGGCAGAGAGAACGCTGGGAAAAAGAAGGCGGAGACGCCAAGAAGATGCTTAAGGACATAGAGCAAGCAGCATAGGCTTTACAAAGTAAAGGTAACTAAGCCATATGAAAGAACATAGAAAAGATATGGGTTAATTTAAGTTATAAGAACTAGTTAGAAACAAGCCTAAGCTATCAGGCGAGCTTTCATAATTAGTAAGAAGTCTCTGTGTCATCATTTGGGAGCTGGCAGGAGGGACAGAGAAATCTAACTATAAAAACGTACAAACAGACTTACTGAGAACTTGTTGAACACTTACAAAAATAAATCATGTTAAGTCAACAAATATTTACTGAGAATCTACTATGCTTAATCACTGATCAAAATCTTTTTTGTTTTGTTTTTGCGTTTCAAGACAGGGTCTCCCCACTTAGTCCTTGCTACCCTGGAACATACTTTGTAGAACTGGCTGGACTCCACTCACAGCAACCTGCCTCTGCCTCCTAAATGCTGGGATTGAAGGGGTCAACCACAACTCCTTGATCTAAATTTTTTTTAATTGATTTTTTTTTTTTTGTTAATCCTGGCTTTTCACAGTATACTGCCAGAAAATTCTATCATATTTAATCACTGATCAAACCTTTTTAACAGATCCCCATCTTATTTTAAGGTAAAATATTTGTGATGGCTACAAAAATCTGCATAATTACCCCTTATTCCCATTATGGCTTTATCTTCTAACTTTCCCTTCCCTAGTAATATTGGCCTGTTTTACTATCTCTCAAACATGTCAAAAACTCACTCCATTAGAGTCTGTTTATATTCTGTCTCTCACGCTCACTCCCTAGATAACCACATTGCTGAGAAATCTATTTCATGGGCCAACAAAAGAAAAGACTTTAGACAACATAAAAGCTTAACCTGGTAGACCTTAGAATGAAGCAGAATTAATTTTTAAAGAGACATTAGTCTCAAGTTTTACAGGAAGTAGCAGTAAACCACAGATGCATAAGTACCTCAAGAAAAATAACCAGTAACTCATATACAGATACAGAGATATGATATCAATTAATAAGAGAAAAAAAAAGACCTATAATGCAGTAAGAGAAGAAAGACCAGTCACTTCCAAAGAAATGACAAAATCATAGCACAATTTTCAAGAAAATGGGAACCAAAGATATTGGTGGGAAAGATATAAGACATTAAACAACAACAACAACAACAAAAACCTAAACCCTTTCTTCAACTGAAGTCTAGGAGTTTAACCCAGTGCTTGGTTGTGGATCACTGAATCTGCTTCTATCAGTTACGGGATGTAGGTTTTATGATGACAATTAGGGTAGTCACTAATCTAATTATAGGGGAAGGTAAGTTCAGGTACCCTCTCAGTTATTGCTAGGAGTCTTAGCTGGTGTTATCCTTGTGGATTCCACTAGCACCAGGTTTCTCCCTAACCCCCTAATGGTTCCCTCTACCAAGATCTCTTTCATTGCTCTCCCTTTCCCTCCCTCCCTCCATCTCAGTCCCTCCTTTTCCCATCCCCTACCCCATCCCTTCTACCCCCACTCCCAGTTTACCCAGGAGATCCTAACTATTTTCCCTTCCTGGGGCCCTCCATGTGTATCCCTCTTAAGGTCCTTCTTTTGGAGCAAGTGAGGTCAAGATCATGATGGGAAAACCAGAGACAGCTGACCCAAGCTGGTGGGAGCTCATGGACTCTAGCCTGTCAGCTGGGGAACACGCAAGGGACTGAACTAGGCCCTCTGAATGTGGGTGACAGTTTGTAGCTAGATCTGTTTGGGGAGCCCCTGGCAGTAGGATCAGGACTTATCCTGGGTTCATGAAATGCTTTTCTAAACACATTCCCTAGGATGGGATACCTTGCTCAGCCTTGACATGGGGGGAAGGGGCTTGGTCCTGTCTCAACTTAGTATGCCAGACTTTATTGACTCCCCAAGGGAGACCTTATCCTCTCTGAGGAGTGGACAGAGGGGTGGGATGAGGGGAGGTGGGGGGTGGGAGTACGGGAGGGAGGGGGAACTGTGATTGGTATGTAAGGAAAAAAAAACCCAACAAACCCCAAAACAAAACAAAAAAAACCACAACTTGACAAAAAACTGATTTCATTTACCTCAAAATAACTTCAAGAATATGCCCAAGGATTTTATGTATAGGAAAAAAAATCATGAATAGAATAGCAAATATACTTCTAAAATCTTAGAATTTAGATTCTAAGTATATTTTAGTATAATAATCTTTCAAAACTAGATAATATATCAACCTCAGTCTATCATTTAGAAAACCTGCCTAGGGGCCTGACACAAAACCCCAATTTCACTCTAACTGACTCTTACTTTCTTTCAAGAAGCAAGCTTGACTTAACTTAGCATAAAGGCATTCCGAACAGCTTTGTGAGGAAAATAAATAATTTCCTGCTCTTTAATGATATCTATACTTCTAGTGCTGTTGTTTCCAAATTTCGAATGCAGTTATTTAACCATACTTGTTAGAATTGGCAGTGTCTATCATCCTGATTAAGCTAGTCAATCCGAGGGAGCAAGGGTCCAGTTTCTAACAATTAAATATAACCTAGGAGAAACAGTCAATAATGTTTCATGGAATGGAAACAAAACTAGGGTATGAGGGAATTAAAACAGTGTATGATAATTTAAAGAATGTAACATCAAAATAAAACACAATTAAAAGTACATTTTAGTTAGCATATATTCACATTACAAATCAGGTTTCACTGTTGTATTTTCATATAGTCTATCATATACACTGAACACAGAAGTACAAAATACATTAGGACATTCATTTACATACCTGCTCTAAGTCAAGAGAGAACCATTTATCACTTCCTTCTTCTGCCACTGATACACGGTATTTGCTTTTGTTTTTAATCATATAAAAAGGAGTAAATATCACAATTCTGGTAATGTTAAAACTGCTGAGGTTTATAGTGACACCAACCTAAAAAAAAGAAAAATTAAGACTGTTTGAAAACTATCACTATTGTACACTGATAAAATTTAAGTATCCAACAGATATATTTTAAATGAAAGTTTCTTTAGCACAGAAGAAACTCACTTGGTATTCCATTTTCAGGCCTTTGCATTTAATGGCTCCATGACTACCAACAGTATCAATTGAAAACTGATCCGAGAGCTCACTATCAGTTACCATAAGCTGAACCTAGGAGAAGAATTTGAGATAAATTATAATTTAGATACCATCTGTTTATGGTGTGAAAGGTCAAACTTAAAGCCTTGCATGTTAGGCAAAAACCCTTATATTGATAACATAGTAAATCTTAACATTAAATGCTTACTGTACTGTTTTGGTTAGATGTTTCTGAGACAGGGTTTCTTGTGTAGCTCAGGTTGGATGTAACTATGTACATATGCAGGCCTCAAACATCAACATTCTCCTGCCTTCCAAATGCTGGTGCATGCTACTGTACCCAGCTATGCTAACCTTTGAAACCTCAAATATATACAAATATTATTCCTACCTAATTTCATATTTTATTGTTCAGAGCTCTAAAAACTGAAACAGAGTATTATCTAAAAAGCAAAAGTTAGAAAAAAATGACACATACCTTATTGTTGTTAAAAAAATGATTTGGCTGAAAGGAAAAGAGAACTGGCTTTTTATAATTAGGTGGATGTTTTCGGTGAATTCCATCTGCTTTGTATTGTAACATTCGTTCAGTTTTATTGACCATCCAATATGGACTATGAAATGCCACAATTGTCTGACCAGTATTGTAAGTCATATGGATTGCAATATCCAAATCAGTCTTTTCCATTTCTGTGAGACAGGTAAAGTTGATAAAATTGATGTCCTGTTGATTAGATTTTATTTGAAATTCACTTTTCCAATCATGATTAAGATAGTCAAGCAATTTTAAGTATAGCTTGGCATTGTCCATTTGAACATTATAAATCTGTGATGAATGTCCTTCACTTAGAGTAAAAACTGTGTTTTCAATGCCCTGGAATAAGAAGCAAAAACAAAAACAAACTTAAACATGCTTCTGGAAAATACACTTATTCTTTCCATATACTACACAAAACCCTTTTGACATAACTGTCAGAACAAGTCATCAGTGTTCTTCAAGTTGTAACTCTGCCCTAGCGCTTGATCTACATTTGGGTAATTTTCCTTATTAAAATGATCTACATAAACTGCTACAAAAGGCTAAGATGAAATGACATGAGAAACTTCACAGCAAGTTGTAACTGTAATGACATAATCAGTAAAACTAAAATAAGCCCTAATTTATCTACTAATTATTGTAGTTTTGAAAACTAAAAGTAACAAAAATATACAAGAAAGCTGCTACAATCCAATAAAGCAACACACACTGTCTGCCATTTTTAAAAACAATCCCTTCATCCATTATCAGTTCATGTTCTTTATTATATCTCAAAAAATCATTAATTTTTCCCCACTCACACCTTCATTACCTTAGTTCTTATCTCTATGACTTTTCTAGTGTCTTTTTCCAGCTCTTTCCTACCGTTATAACAGAATTTCTTACATTTTAAATAATATCAATTGGTAAACTTGTGTGTGGAACAGACTATTCTACAAAACGGCGATGGTAGTGCTGGTGGTGGTGCTATGCTAAAGTGGCTAATAAACGGCAACCACGTCCCTGTGACGGATGGTACTAAATCCTTTAGATACTCAACTATTTTCCCCATGACTTAACCATGTAAGTTATCACTATTTCCATTTAGTAAAATACAACAATGCTCAATCTACCTAAAAACGTAAGTTAATAATAATAAAAAGAGCTAGGATACACTTTCAGGTCATGATGGCCAAGTACTCACGATTATGGTAATTTGTCAAATGTAAAAACATAACCACAGATAAGTTAATTCCTCCTACTTAAAAACATATCACAAAACCGTAAACATATTGCAATTCACAAAGTTAAATAAACCTACAAAGAAGAGATTATAGTGAAGAACTGATTTATATTGGATAAGCATTGATATAAAAATATTTACAAAACAATCTTAGAAAAGAGGAAACCCTTACTTAATCTAAAATTGAGTACTTAATAGAAAAAGCATCTTTATAGGAAATAAAATTTTCAGAGAATTTGTACTTAAAGAATACCTAACACAGCAAACTTTACTTGTGTAGGTATTACACTTGAATGTTATTTTAATACCAATGCCCAAGAATGTTTCATAATTCATTATCCATCATTTAAACCTACAATATATGAAATACATTTGAAGAGAAAGTTATAAAATAAATGGTACCTTCAGATGGTGGCTATATGTCATTTATTGTATAAGCCGATATAAGTTGTGCAAATCACATAGTATTTGCACATAACTATATACAGCTCCATAGATTTCTAAGATAAATTAATGAAAAATATCTTATTTTCTGGAAAATTATTTATTTTGTTTATTTATTGTATGTGTGAGAGAATGCTAAGGCCTGTTATGGAGGTCAGAAAACAACTTATGGGAATTATGAGTTGTGGAGATTCAACTCAGGTTGTGAGGCTTGAAGTTCGTATATTATATTTTTAAGCATAATATTAAATTTTTCATTTTGATAAATACATTATTTTTAAGTAATGCTATAATCTTGGTTACAGCTTCAAAAAGTTTTGTTTATAACTTTAAATAAACCAAGCTACAAAGATAAGAAGACACTCAGAAACTGTCAAGTACCTCTAAGTAATAAGCAATTCTGTAGGGAAGAAGATTGCGAATGAGAATAGGTGGCCACAAGTGCATTACATATGGTAAGTCCCAGCCGTCTTCTGAATACACTGACAGAGAAGTCAAATTATCTTTTTCTGGGACAATATTAATAACAAATGATTTTTTAGAAGGGTGTATAGATCTACATCTCTTCTTTAGAAGTTGTCCATCATATTTTATGATTTCTTCAAAGTCAATTCCTTCACACATCTGGTAGTCTTCATCTTCCGGCTTCAAAGAAAGGGATGATCTGCACAAAAAAATTAAATATAATTTGAAAGTATTTTTAAAAACCTTAAGTTAGAAGACTACTGCTTCAGACAATGAATCCCTTCAGTATTACTGTAAAGAGTCCTGGTTTTCAGGCTTCAAGCTTCATAATCTAAACAGGTGCCCCAATTTTCCAGAAACTCACCAAGTTTTATTTGATCATGATTATTTTTACAAACTTTAATATACATACTTTCAATATATGTTTAAATTTCAGTATTTCTGAAAAATATTTTTCTATGTGGTATGTGCATGTATGTGAGGGTACATGCATTTGCATGGGAAGACTAGAGCCTCTCACTGTGTTTGGAGCTTTGATTTGGCTACAATGGCTGGTCCACAAACTCTAGAATCACCTCTCCTGCTTCCCCAACGTCGTAATTACAGGCATACTGCCACATACAGCTTTTAGATGACTTCCGAGAATTCAAATCTCAGCACTTTACATACAGATCTATCTTCTCAGCCCTATGTGTAATTTTTTTTAAAACTAAGCTACATCCAAGAATCAAGAAGAAATATCTTTGTCTTTCACCTGCCTGAGCCTCAAGGCTCCAGATGGGCATGCAGATGTTTCAGGTAGGCCGGACCATGAGAACCCAGGATGGCCCATGGGTGTCTTTTGCCTACCTGAGACGCATGGCATCAGGGGGCATGTGGATGCTTCAGATAGCCCAGGCTGTGAGGACAAAGGCTACATAGACCACATCCTGTGGCCACATTGGTGTCCAAGGGCTGTGTTGCCATTGGGGCCATGTGTTAACCAGTGCATGCTGAGGGCCATGTTGGGTCTGTGGCACTAACGAGACCAGGGTCTTTGGTGATGTTGTGGTTCCTGATCTCATCGAAGGGAATGCTGATGTCAGAAGTCTAGGCTGCCACCTGGGGCCATGGTGACATCCATGCCTGGGTTGCTGATGAATACCATATTTGGATCTGTGGTCTTTACCACAGCTGGGGTCTTTATTGATGTCCGTGGCCTGTGGTGCCACCAAAGGTCACATGGATGCCTGGGGTCTAGGCCACAATCTGTGACCATGTTGTCACCAGGGCTGTGCCATTCGGAGTGGCCACTGCTACCACCTGGAGTCATGGTGTCAACCGGGCCAGTTACTGCTAAGGGCCATGTCTGGGTCCGTGGTACTACGCTAGCCAGGGTCTGAGTTGATGTCCCTGACTCCTGATTCCATCGAAAGCCATGCTAATGCCAGGGGTCTGCTGGGGCCATATTGGTGTCTAAAGGCCACTCTGCTGCAGGGCCCACTCTGCTGCAGGGCCCATGCCAATCTGAGAGGCCTGTGCTGCCACCTGGAGCCATAGTGACATCCAAGCTCAGGGTGCTGCTGGGGACCATGTCTGGGTCCATGGTCCTACCACAGTTGGGATCTCTGATGTCTATGGCCCACGGTGTCAAATAAGGACACAGATGCCTGGGGTCTAGGCCACATCTTGTGGCTTTGTTGGTATCTGAGAGCTATGTTACCACTGGGGCCATACCAATCTGAGTGCCCTCTGCTGCCACCTGGGGCCATGGTGACATCCAAGCCTGCATTTGAGGACTACGTCTGGGTCTGTGGTCCTAACAAAGCCAGGGTCTATCTTGATGTCTGTGGCCCATGGTACCAATGGCCACATGGATACCTGGAGTCTGGGCAGCAACCTGTGGCCATATTGGTGTCTGAGAGCCATGCTGCCACCAGGGCCATGTCTAGGTCCAAGGCCAGACAGCAGACAGGGTCTGGGCTGATGTCCATAGTGCCTGTTACCCAGGGGGTCAAAGGAACCATGCATGTTGAAATCCAAGGACTGTGATGAGCCAGCCCTGCCCCTCATTGGCCCCAGGATAGCTGGTCCTGCCCCTTGCTGGACACTGCAGGAGAGCTTAAACACGCCCTATCCCCATCCTCTACCGAGCCCCCCCCTCCACCCCCAGCACTCAGGAGAGATGGCCCCACCCTTCACCAGAGGCTTTCAAGAACTGGCCCTGATGGCATGGCCCTAGGAGAGCTGGCTCTGCCTCTCGCCTGAGGAGGCAGTCCCAGTGGCCAGGACTGACCAGCTCAGCTACCACAGAGACCTACATCCTGGGTGTTTGTTGGGTGGGCCCACTGGTCCACCCTAACATCTGCTCCATCTGTGACCTGCTGGAGTATGTGAAGGGACTGGTGCTGCAGAACAACAGCTGCAGGATCTCCATGACTCAGGGCGGAATACCTGAGAGGGGTTTCAACGAGGCCCCAGTGGTGGTGGTGTGCTAGAGGCACTAAACTAGACCAATGAGCAATGCAATGAACATTTTGTGGGTGGGGCTGATTAGACAAAAAGGTATACTGAGTGACACACTGCAGTTCCCAATGCCACTAGGATGAGTGAAGAGGCGTTGGAAAATGGGAGGCATGAGGTGGGTTTATTGTTCGTTTTGTTTTTAATTAACTTTGGGTGGGGCATGCTGCAGCGGTGTGGGGTGGATATGGAGGGACTGGGAGGTGAGTGGGGTTGGGGTGCATGATGTGAAATTTCTAGAGTCAATAAAGAATTGTGTAAAACAATTTTAAAAAAGAATATATATATATATATATATATATATATATATATGCATGCTGTGGGATGTTCTGTATGGCAAATGTGTTGCTGATTAGTCAATAAATAAAACACTGATTGGCCATTGGCTAGGCAGGAAGTACAGGCAGGACAAGGAGGAGAATAAAGCTGGGAAGTGGAAGGCTGAGTCAGAGAGACACTGCCAGCCACCATGATGAGAAACAGCATGTAAAGATGCCGGTAAGCCACGAGCCATGTGGCAAGGTACAGATTAATGGAAATGGATTAATTTAAGCTGTAAGAACAGTTAGCAAGAAGCCTGCCACGGCCATACAGTTTGTTTTTTTTTTTTTGTTTTTATTTTGGTTTTTCGAGACAGGGTTTCTCTGTGTAGCTTTGCGCCTTTTCTGGAACTCGCTTTGGAGACCAGGCTGGCCTCGAACTCACAGAGATCCGCCTGGCTCTGCCTCCCGAGTGCTGGGATTAAAGGCATGCGCCACCACCGCCCGGCCTGGCCATACAGTTTGTAACCAATATAAGTCTCTGTGTTTACTTGGTTGGGTCTGAGCAGCTGTGGGACTGGCAGGTGAGAGAGATTTGTCCTGACTGTGGGCCAGGCAGGAAAACTCTAGCTACAAATGGCGTCCAACGTGGTGGCAAGAGTTTCCACCTAAAAACTGAGAAAAAAGATTCTAAAACGGAGCTAAAAACAGCTTCCTAATTGTCTCTCTCAAATGAGCAGCAGCTGCCGGTTTAAGCTACTGGTGGGTTCCTGGTGTGCGCGCTTGACTTGCAGTATGGCAGGAATGAGGCCTTTGCAAGTGGCACATTAAGCTGCATGGTGGATTTAGACTTTGCTAGTACCAAAAAAAAAAAAAAAAAAAAAAAAAAAAAAAGGTTTCTGGGCTACATGCTGCTTGGCTAAAAGCACAGACCCACGATAGCTCCCAGAGCTGGCGGTAAATCGCCATGTTGGGAAGCTGAGGTGGGCAGAGCCAGCAGCCACAGCTGCTGCAGTTTAAAGCAATAGATTCACAATAAGACAGATTCAGATGTAATAGTTTACAATGTGTGTAAAATATACGTAGGCTTGAAAGAGACAAAAAAGGTGATATATGGTGATATATAGAGTTATAGAAACAAATACATAGTTTTAAAAAGTAAAGTCTTTAAAGAGACAGTAAAATTAATATAGAAAATAAGCCACGTAAAGATGAATATTACACAGAGAATCTGGATTGTGTTGTCTTTGGGATTTTTAACTGCAGAAAAACATTTGATTGTAAAAGCTGTTGAGTTATGCCAAAATGTATATTTTAAAGGTACCTTGACTTCAAAATTTGGATGTAAGGATGTGTTGCTTTGGAAAGGAGACTCTGCTTTTGTTCCCACAGAAAGCCAAAGGCTATGGATTTGTTCCAGATTAAGATACATCAGGTTTGACCAGCCAAGACCCCCTGAAAGGTCTCTGATGACACCATGGCCCAGATGATCCAACATCCAGAATGGTTTGAAGACGATACACCCTCATGGACTATTCCATAATTCTAAAATTTTCTTTGTTTCCCCATAAGATACAGCACCCCCCTCCAGCAGGAAGTAGTAAGAGAAGCTACGCCCAAATTCCCAAATTATATGTAATTTTACTTTGTTAAGGATAAAACCTTCCTTTTTGAAAAAAAAAAGGGGGGGGGAGTGCTGTGGGATGTTCTGTATGGCAAATGTGTTGCTGATTAGTCAATAAATAAAACACTGATTGGCCATTGGCTAGGCAGGAAGTATAGGCAGGACAAGGAGGAGAATAGAGCTGGGAAATGGAAGGCTGAGGAGAGAGACACTGCCAGCCGCCATGATGAGAAACAGCATGTAAAGATGCCGGTAAGCCACGAGCCATGTGGCAAGGTACAGATTAATGGAAATGGATTAATTTAAGCTGTAAGAACAGTTAGCAAGAAGCCTGCCACGGCCATACAGTTTGTAAGAAATATAAGTCTCTGTGTTTACTTGGTTGGGTCTGAGCAGCTGTGGGACTGGCAGGTGAGAGAGATTTGTCCTGACTGTGGGCCAGGCAGGAAAACTCTAGCTACATATATATATATTATATATATATATATATATATATATATATATATATATATATATATATAATTTTTAACTAATTAACCATTTTTCCAGTGTTGGGGATAGAACCTCACACTTCTCAGGCAAGTACTTTGCTTCTGAACTAATCCTCTATATGTATCTTTTATTTGTAAAACTAGTTATGAACCTAACGATCTCTTATAGATGAGCTGTCAAAACCATCTCTATCTCTAACTACTTTCCTAACATGTAGTCTTAAAAGTTTAAATATCTTCTATATATTTCTGTATTACATGTGATGCTACTGTAACTTCCCTCAATTGGACACTGAACCTTCCACACCTATTGTCCTTTCTTATGACTTTCAGCTACTAGTGCTCTAGAGTTAGAGATAATATTAAACAATGGCCTTCTGAGCCCCCCACAAAACTAATGTCAAAAGAGTTTATTTTGTCCATTTTACTTCTATATTATACTTATAACTTTATTCTACTTTACATTCTTATTTCTAGTATTACATAAAAATTAACTCCCCTCAAATTAAGGCCAACAGACTCATGAAGTTTGTCAAAGCATTCACTTGTTTTATTAGTTTGTTTATATTACGTTCTGTTAATAGTAACATAGAATGGGATTTAGTCTGTAGTTCAGTTTAGCTTGAGACTCCCTGTGCACCCTGAGCTGCCCTCATACTTATGGCAGTCTTCTTGCCTCAAGTTCTAAGTGTTGGAATTATAGGCATGAAACAATATGCTTGGATATCAAAATACCTATAGGGCATATTATGTACCAATCAGAAGATACAACTGAAAATACAAAAATGAGTATGGTATTTTTAGTCTTAGAGAGAAAGCAATGTTAAAACAACAACAACAACAACAACTGTTTCACTGCACTAGCTACCAACCAACCAAATAAATGTCAACAATAGGTTGAAGCCTTCAAATACAGAACACTCTTAGCACACAGAACAGGGAATGTTTGGTAGTGGGAAAATTTTGCAAGAAAGCTGATTTCTGAGGATTTGAATTAGAGAAATATGCAATGTAAAGGAAGTAAAAGAACTGATAAAAATAGAAGAGGTTCAAAATAAAAGACAAATAAAATATTCAGAGGCAGTAAAGAAAAACTGAATACTATTAAATAAAGTTTATAAAAGTAGGAGCAAGTACTTCACTGAGAACTACAGCTCTTTCAAATTCCAGCTCCCTTATGTACTGTCTAGAAGGATTTCCCACTACTCTACACAAAACCTCATCATTTTAAGCTGCCCTATCTTTACTCACAAATTCTCTATAGTAACATGTTCCTCTTCACCTAATCTCAAAACTACACTATGGTGATGCCTATTCATGGTTGTCAACCTGACTACTGGATTTAACTAAAACTCAAATAGTTGGGCATATCTGTGAAGGATTTTGTTTTATTAAATAAGTCATTTGAAGTGGGAAGACCCACTTCTAACCTGGATCTTTGAGATGGGAAGATTCACCTTTAATCTAGATGTTTGAGGTGTGAAGATCCACCTTCAATCTGGGACACACTTCCTGCTGGCAACCTATATAAAGGACATGGAAAGAAGCTTGCTCTCTCTCTTTGCCTGCTTTTTCTCCCTCTCACTAGTAAGTCCTTTCCTTTATTGGCATTAGAGCCTACTTCTTTGGGATTCCAACATATACTATAAATTAGCTGAGACATCCAGCCTTGTGGATTGAACAACTACTGGATTTTTGAACCTTTTATTGGTAGACAGCCATTGTTGGAGTAGCTCGACCACATCCTGTAAGTCATTCTAATAAATCACGTTTATATGTGTATTATAAATTATATATTAAAACATACACACACACACACACACACACACACACACACACACACACACACACACACACACACAGAGTTCATTAGAGGTAGAGAACCCTGACTAATACACCTATCTAACTGCATTTCATGTACCTTAATCCAGAGTCAGCCATTCTTTTTGTGTTTTCATACTTTCCTGTAACTTTAATACTTTTTGTAATTCTTTACAACTGTCTCCTATCTTATGTATTTATTTGTCAGTATTTCAACAGCAACAGGAAATCCAGTTCACGTTGGTATCATACAGTGTCTTATACATTAAGAAAATATTTGCTACTTGGTAAAGAAATTAAATTTAAGAATCAACATACTCAAATTCTAAAGAGAAAGATAACCATTTCTTACTTTAAGATCTATCCATAAACAAATAGGATACATATACACAAAAGATACTGTTTTCTAAATCAATTTTTAAAACTTGTATTATAGTCTACAAATGCAGAAACCAAATCATCTTCCATTAGACATTTTAAAACACCTGAACATGTGAGTATGGTCACAATGGGAACACTGCAAGCATGTAATAACTATACTAATTAGTAAAAGTATAAATTATGCACAGAATTTAAAATACAATAATTTTTATTTTTGAAAAGATATCTAGGCACCTTGAAATCTAGGCTAGATGAGATATTTAACAGGTAGGCTGATCAAAGTTTGATAATTTAAAAACAATAGCTATATAGAATCTACTGAAAATTCTCTAAAACAGTTTAGGACAATTAAAAAGATAACGAAAAAAACTCACCGGTAAGATGATAATGGTATGTTGAATTCATTTTCAGGTGAGGCAATTCCCAATAAAGTATCCCCTTCAAAAACGGAAATTGGAATTGAAAAATGATTCTTAATCTGAGAAAAAACAATATTTAATATTAATATGAGAAAAGATATTTAAAAAATGTCCATCTACATATCTTTTTGTTTTTGTTTTTCAAGACAGGGTTTCTCTGTGTAGTTTTGGTGCCTGTACTGGACCTTGCTCTGTAGACCAGGCTGGCCTTGAATTCACAGAGATCTGCCTGGCTCTGCCTCCTGAGTGCTGGAACTAAAGGCATGCGCCACCGCTGCCTGACTACGTATCTTAACATAGACTCTACCAGGCAACATTCAGCTTGGTCATATAAATTAGAATAAATAAACATACAATTATTTATCTTTAAAAACAAAATGAAATTATTCAGGTTTATATTTCATAGGAAAAAAAATTGAAGCCAGCCAACATTCCACATAAATGAGGGAGGGGTGTATAAGGCACCACCTAGCCGGGGAGCTATTTGCCACTGATGGCTGCTGACGGGGGGGGGAGTATTGAGAGCCACTGGTAGTGAAAATCCATGAGAGTATACAGCAGGTGACAACTAGTGCTCAGAAGGTCAATCTATCAGAACTAAGGGTTCTGTTAGAGGAAACCATCATGCAAGGCATTATGGAATTACTGCCTTTTGAATGAACTGACTGTCTCTGTAAACTTCTTGTGCAGTAACAGCTATGATTCTCCCCATTTACTGTGCATTTCCATGTTAGTGTACATGCAATCTCATGACTGCATCTCAATCTTGGGCACAACTTTCCCTATACATTTGGGGTAATTGGACAACTGTCCCCAGTTGTGTTTATTTTTCATTAACATATATCTGTCCAGGGCCATTCTCCGGACAAAGGTATTTCAGCAAAGATACCTTTTTCCAAGGACAAAACTGCACATAGATAAACATTAGCTCATCTCATTCACAGATAGAGAAAAGAACCACTAACAATTAAATCCTCACCCCCTTACCTTCACCCCGGGTTATTTACACAAGACCCTAACTTAAGAGATTTACTGCTCACATTCCTGGGAGGATGTTTTAGCCATTTGTTAGTTACTGAGTTAAGGCAGTTACTTCCCACTGACCCAAGGAAATTGCCTACAAGGCCAGGCAGATGATAGTTGCCAAGCTTCTTTCTTGTGCAAATTAAGTTTTTATTCCTCCTCAGCCAGGTGCAATTCCTAGATTTTCTCCTCAGCAATTACTCTGAGTGAAAGTGCTTTCACTAACCAAATACTATACGCTCTGACATAGCCATGTCTCCCTTCCTATCAGAAAGCAGCTGCAGCTGGGATGAGCGGGAAAAGCGGCGCCAAAGACAGTTTACTTTCTTGTGACTTACTGACCCTAACATTGTACCTGGCCATTTCTAGATTATAGTTTGAGCACATAAATTCCCTAATTGATCTTAGCCTTTAGTTGCCCCTACCAGAGAACTCCCCTTTAGTCACTCCCCTTTTGGGTTGTAATTGGAAGCTGACAATTAATTGCTTTATGTGTGGATCCTGATCACCTCTCTCTGTGACCCTGAAAACTTCAAGCCTCACATTGCTTTACCACAGAATTACTGTTTGGGTATATGTACCGGTTCTCTGAGAGCACTGGGAGAACAGGATTGATGGAGAAGAACAAAGATGAGGACTGAGATGGAAAGAACTAGGTAGAATGATGAGAGAACAGCAGAAGGGACTGAGAGCAGGAGAGACTGAGAGGAGCTAAGTAAGAGAGCAGAAAAGAAACTGATAGAATTGACTTAGAAGAATAAAGCGAATAGACTAAAGAACTCAGTGTGCTTAGATTCATTGAATATCCCTCAGATTAGAATCCTCAGCTGGTTGTTAGACTCTTTCGCAGACCCTGGGAGCAAACAATATAGGCTGGACCGAATATTGTTTGCATTAAGGGAGAGTCAGTTTTCTTCACAAGTGTTGTCCCTGGTAGGCTGCCCATGCATCAGTAGATGGCCCTTCACAAATAAACATTAAGGGCACCATTAATTAGACTCAGTGTGCTATTAAAAATATAACAACAAAAAGTCATAAAGCTGGGAAAAGGATGTAAGGGGAAGGTGTTTAGAGAGCATTTGGAGAAAGGGTGTAAGATAAATATGATCAAACACAGGCATATTTAATTTCCTATGTATAAAATTCAAATTTAATTAAACAAATGGAATGATTTTTTGCAACAACAAAAAACCTGCATGAATGTGAAAAAGGGAGTTATATGGAAGAGGGTGTGTAACAGGGGTGGAAGGGAAAATTGAGAGGGTAGGAGTTATAATAATCAAAATATACTTTATAAATGTATTAAATCGTCAAAGAACCAACCCAGTGAAAGTGTGCATGTGTGTATGTACACACATACACACACACACACACACACACACACACACACACTCCCACACACACACACACACACACACTCCCTTCAAGGTTCAGAGAACACTGGAAGGGAAGACAGAAAGAATATAAGAAATGGAGGAAGACAGGAGTATTGTGAAATGTTGGCCTCTGAACATGAACTCACAACAACTATAGTTACTTATACAAGGTCAAGACTAGTAAAATTTCAGCATTCAGTCCTAGCTCAGAAGCTACTGGCCCAGACAGGAAATTTGTCTTTGAAAGGTTATAGCCAGATACTGGCAGGTTCTCTATCCATTAACTGGAGTCAATACGTTAAAACAAATAAACAAACAAAGACATTAAGCAGTAGGGGATATACTGGGGAAAGGGGCAGAGGCAAGTGGAGGGAAGGAGTAGGAGTGCAACATGATTAAGATACATTGCATACATTACATCTGTGAATGGTTTCAAAAACAAAAAGCAAATCATGTATGTCAAAATAAAGCATGTTAGCCTGGGAAATGTTAGTACCACAGTTAACAAAAGGTCTAGAAGAATGCACACACAAAACAAACCTAGGATAGCTAAAAGAATCCTGTATAATAAAGCAACCCCTGGAGGCATCATGATCCCTGACCTCAAGCTCTACTATAGAGCTATAGTAATAAAAACAGCTTGGTACTAGCATAAAAACGGACATGTGGACCAATGGAATCGAATTGAAGACCCTGACATTAATCCACACACCTATGAACATATGATTTTCGACAAAGAAGCCAAAACTGTACCATGGAAAAAAGAAAGCATCTTCAACAAATGGTGCTGGCATAACTGGATGTCAACATGTAGAAGACTGCAAATAGATCCAAATCTGTTGCCATGCACAAAACTCATGTCCAAGTGGATCAAAGACCTCAACATAAATCCAGTTACACTGAACTTGATAGAAGAGAAAGTAGGAAGTAGTCTGGAACGAATTGGCACAGGAGACCACTTCCTAAATATAACACCAGCAGCACAGACAATGAGAGCAACATAAATGGGACCTCCTGAAACTGAGAAGCTTTTGTAGAGCAAAGGACATGGTCAATAAGACCAAAGTGCAGCCTACAGAATGGGAAAAGATCTTTACCAACCTCACATCTGACAGAGGGCTGATCTCCAAAATATATAAAGAACTCAAAAAGCTAGACATCAAAATACTGAACAATCCAATTAAAAAATTCTTGAAAATCATAAAAGTTACAAGCACGGTTGCAGAAGTTTGTGCAGTAGCGGCCAAGGCAGTGTAGCTCCATGACAAGTTCGGCATCGCACGGCCTCCCACCCAGTGCTGCCATGATGCCAAAGAGGAAGGTTATTGAGGATGGAGCTGCAAAGGTGGAGCCCAAGCGATGCTCCTTAAGGTTGTTGGCCAAGCCCGCCCCTGCCAAGGCGGACCAGAAGCGGAAGAAGGCCGCGGGGAAGGATAAATCATCAGACAAAAAAGTGCAAACAAAAGGGAAGAGGGGAGCAAAGGGCAAACAGGCTGAGGTGGCTGACCAGCAAACCACAGATGTGCCTGCAGAAAATGGAGAGGCTGAGAACCAAGAGTCCAGCCTCTGAAGTAGAAGAGAAAGAACCAAGTCCGACTAACCATCCATGTGTCTGTCAGTGTCCCCGCCTCCCTTCTTGTATAATCCAGAAGAATATTTTTATCAACTATTTTATAAATGCGAGTTTTTTAGTAGCTCTAGAAAAATTTTTAAAAGGTGGGGGGAAGTCCCACCTCATCCCATAAATGATTATTTTAAGAGGTTAAATCACTTGCTGGTTGTTTATTCTTTGGTACAACCAGAAAATAGTAGGATACTGCATCAGGAGAGGCTATGACTGTCTCAGGGGTCACCATAACATTCCGTAGAGGGGGCTAGTTTTATATCCTACAACACAAAGCATACTGAATGGTAATTTGGAGTCTTCGTTGTGCATTTGAGTCTGGAATATTTTCAGTTATTTCTGGTCTCGTGTTTCTAGTAGAACTGTATCCAAAAAAACCACTCCTCAGTCCTTGCCCTGTCAGAACTGTCTCTGGTCATGGCAGTCCATTTTCCTAACAATTGTGATAATGTGCTGTGAAAGATTGAAATTTTGAATACGTACTGTATGTGGCATAAAATTGTGAGTCAGTGGAATTAAGGATTGTGAGCATTGATTGTTAGGTGAGGTCCTAGGGAAAACTTGTCAAGCTTAGGATGGAACATCGCTGGAATAAGTTCAAAGAGAAACAACACATGGCTCTTTTGGGTACGTGAACACAATGTATGACTCTTAGAGTATGGGTCCATGTTCTAAGAACTGAAATGTCTGTGTACTCAACCAATAAAGTCTCAGTTGTGAAAGAGTAAAAAAAAAAAAAGTTACAAGCACAATGAAAATGGAAACAGAATAAACAGGGAATCCACAGAAGGAAAAGCTAACTACTAAAAAATAGAGAAAAAAAGATATTAAATGTTCCTAGAAAGCAAGAAAATACAAATTATAACCACATGCAAACTTTTCACAAAACTGGCAAAACAAAACGACTATAGTTGTTGTGAAGTTCATGTCCAGAGGCTGACATTTCCCAATACTCCTCCCTTTCTCCATTTCTTATAATTCTTTCTGCCTTCCCTTCCACAGGTTATTTTTTTTATACTGTATGTATGTTTCTACT